CCTGTTCAGATCCATGCTCATTCCACTAGAGCATTGGCAGCCTCCATGGCTTTTTTGCACAGTGTGCCTCTGGATGATATCTGTCGGGTGGCCATATGGTCAACACCGCATACTTTTGTCTCCCATTATAAATTGGATTTAGCTGCCAAGAAGGAGACGGCTTTTGGGAGAGCAGTACTTTTTTCTGCACCAGCATGACACCCACCATCCGTGGGACTGCTCGCTAGTCTACCACAGGTGTGGATTTCACAGTACCACGCAGAAGAAAGTAAGGTTGCTTACCTGTAACCATGTTTCTTCTAGTGGTTAACTGTGAAATTCACACAACCCGCCCATCCTCCCCACATTCTGTCATGCCTTTTATCTCCGACTGTCTTTCACGGTACGGAACTAAGGCTCCAAGCCCCGCTGCCTGGCTTTATTAGGAGTAGATGGGTGGGGCTGGAGTCCCTAATTAGGAAAAGCTTTCAAGAAAGATCCGAGTCAGCTGCGTGGACGCAGGGAAATACCACAGGTGTGAATTTCACAGTTAACCACTAGAAGAAACATGGTTACAGGTAAGCAACCTTACTTTCTCGGAGATGCTTTTCTCTATTTAATGTCTATAGACATTAAGTCTAGTCGTGTCTCACTCTGGGGGGTGGTGCTCATCTCCATTTCTAAGCTGAGGAGCCTGTGTTGTTAAATCCTGATCATGTGGCTGGCAAAATTGGTTGGAGAATCTCTTGCCTTATCCCTCTGAAGTGGTACCTATTTATCCACTCACATTTGGTTTTGAACGGCTAAGTTGGCAAGGAGCTAGAACTGACGGACGGGAGCTCACCCTATCTCGTGGATTTCAACTGCCAACCTTCAGGTCGGCAGTTCAGCCAGCAAAGGATTTAATCCATTGTGCCACTGCAGTCTTTACTATCTGGGAGGTGCTACCAATTCCAAAACCCTTATTGCCCTTCAAAGGAAAACCCAACCCTCTTCTCAACACCATTAAAAGTTTTAAATTTCAAAAGTGGGTATGTAACATAATGTAGCTGTGTGGAGTACTTCTGTTTGAGGTGATATAACCAGCCCATCAACAAATACTGTTTCTTCAAATGTAAGATGCTCTTAATTCTAAGACACGCCCTAATTTCAGTACCAACAACAATGAAAACACAAGATACACCTGCGATTCTAAGATGCACCCCATTTTTAGAGATGTTTATATAGGTGGAAAGTGCATCTTATAAATGAAGAAATACATTACTAAAAAGCAGACTGTTAGGAATTGTGGGAGTTGAGGTCCAAAACACCCAGAGGGCCAAAGTTTGCCCATGCTTGGTATATAGTGTATTACATGAACCATAGAAAGGGGGGGGGTGGCCCAATGTCATAATTTTGAAAACATCCATACCCTATGGGGTATTTTTCCTTTAAAAATGGAAATAGAAAACTTTTGAAAACTTCAGCATTCTTCTAAATCTGCAAAAAATTATGTGGATGGTGGCATTTTGACTACATATTTGCTTAGTTTCCTGTATGTAATAGCCAGCATGATGGAATTATAGAATCATGGAGTTGAAAGAGACCTCATGGGCCACCCAGTCCAACCTCCTGCCAAGAAGTAGGAAAACCGCATTCAAAGCACCCCCGACAGATGGCTATCTAACCTCTGCTTAAAAGCCTCTAAAGAAGGAGCCTCCACCACACTCTGGGACAGAAAATTCCACTGCTGAATGGCTCTCACAGTTAGGAAGATTTTCCTAACGTTCAGGTGGAATCTCTTTTCCTGTAGTTTGAAGTCATTGTTCCACATCCTAATCTCCAGGGCAGCAGAAAACAAGCCTGCTCCCTTCTCCCTATGAATTCCCCTCACATGGCCATCGTGTCTCCTCTCAGCCTTCTCTTCTTCAGGCCAAATATGCACAGCTCTTTAAGCCGCCCCTCATAGGATTTGTTCTCCAGACCCTTGATCATGGTCTGAACATTGGGCTAAATCTGATTATTAGGGTTCAAATCTCCACTCTGCCATTGAAATCCAATGATGACCTTGCACAAGTCATAATCCCATCGCCTACATTCTGGCAGGTGTAGTCCAAAAGAGCAACATTTCCATCTTTTGGTGTAGAAGCTATTCTATTCTTTCAATTTGAATCTCCTTTCTGCCTTTTCACCCAGGGTACAGATTGAGTCCTCAGGCAGTCAATGGAATTGTGAAGCGGTACAGCACTCGAGGAAAGATCTCATTTGATGACTACATTGCCTGCTGCGTTAAACTCAGAGCTCTCACTGGTATGCTTTAGCTCGTAATTTTATTATTGTGGTACACTGAGACGGAAACTAATGGGTGAAGATCCCTGAAACAACAGAATTTGAATTAGAGAGGTCCATAAAGGATATTTAATCCAATTTCCTATTGAATGCATTTGAGACTTCCCTTTAAGTAGATTAAGACATTTTCAGTGAGCACAGTACTGTAACAAACTATGATTCCAATATTAACTTCTTTAACCTGGTTTTATTATGAGTTCTATGTATACCTTGGTGACACCTTGATCATTCATGAAAAAGCCTAGTGCTAAAGTGCTAATGGTTTTAGTCCATCGCCTATGCACTCAATATAAAGAATTTTCATAAACTGCTGTAGATTTAAATAGTTTGCTGTTGGCTATCTGATTTCTATGTCGCATGCTACAGTGCTATTCTTCAGTGTAGTCTTCATGTTTAATTTACTCTGTCGTATGGTTTTTCTGTTGTATTATGTATGTTTTCAAGTGGAGTTCTTCTAAAATTTGTTTGCAACCTCTCCAAGTATCAAACAAGGATCCAGAGTTTTTTCTGCATCTGAGAAAAAGAAAGAGGTCTCTTGGATGAGCCAAGCAGGTGAAAACCCTTAAACCCTCCTCGCCAAAAAGAGTTGCTAATATAACAAAGTTAGCAACACTTTACAACAGTAGCAATGGGATGTGTTTTGATAGCACATCAGTAGTTGTGCTTTTTTGTTTGCTATTCCCTATAAATCTACAAGTACGTAATATTTTTATGAGTCTCAGCTTACAAGTTTGCACATCTTCTATGTTGTCTCAGTGTGTGATTCTTCTGTACTTTTTTTCTTTTTGCAGATAGTTTTCGAAGAAGGGATCAGGCGCAGCAAGGCATGGTGAACTTTCAGTATGATGATGTAAGTACTAGAGCAGTGGTCCCCAACCTTTTATTAACCAGGGCCACTCTCCAATAGTACCAAAAGGGTTACAAATCAGTTTTTGGTCAACTTTAGATTCGGTTTGCTTATTTGGGGTCCTGATTCAGAAAATTGCATTGTATAGACCACATCAGCTCTAGTTTCTGATACAGAACATATGCTATCCAGTAGTTGCCTTCTGCTCACCCACAGAAAATCATATTTAATCATTTAGAGCTGATGTAGTCGGTCCAATGCAATTTTCTGAATCAGCACCCCAAATAACTCAAGGAACAGGCTTAAAAACAAAGACACCAAGTCTCCCCCGCTTCCAGGTGCCACATGGAACAGCTCTGCTCAGGAGAAGGGAAGAGGACAAAAAGCAGCAGTCAAAAAGCTTGTTGTGCCTTTCGTGGGTAGTCAGCATCTCCCCTCCTGACATCCCCGTTGCCTCGGCACTATAAGAGGGTTTAATGAGATCAGTCACTCTTGTTGCAGCTGTGTTGTAACTGTGATGCCGCGGACCATATTTTAGTTCTTGGGGACCACTGGTGATCCATGGACCACAGGTTGGGAACCACTGTACTAGAGGATGAAAATAATATTTTTAATTCTTTGTTCCAGTGTTCAAAAGTGGGTTTCCTGAAAGTGGAAAACACCATTTGGAAGAATAATAGGCCGGTGAAAATTTTAAGCAATTTCCTCCCAGTACCAAAATGGCCCAAAGTTCTTTGGAGGAATTAGAGAAGAAGACATGAGATTACCTCCCACAGTTGGAATAAAATGACTGTAATTATTCATCCTTGTTAGCAGCAGCATCCTTTACAGATGTAGCTTCCCAACTTTAGAGTACCACCTCTTATTGGCCTACAGTCCACAGTATCTCTGACCATTGATGGTATTGGTTAGGTCTTCAGAAAGTTTAGGTCCAACAACTGGAGATCCTTTATAGCAGGGGCAGGTCCTCTGTAATCCTCCAGATATTGTTGGACTTCAATCAGCCATCTATCCTAGCTAGATGATGGATGACCCTGGATTATAGAAACAAAGAGCTTTAGTGGCTTTAGTGTCAGACTCTTGATAATCATGGTTTGAAGCCCAGCTCCACCATAGAAACCCACCAAGTGACCTTCAGTGAGTCAAATTCTCTCAAACCTCTGAGCAAAGCTTACTAACAAAACCCTTGATAGGCTTGCCATAAGTCAGAAATGATTTGAAGGAATGCAACAATAACAAGTAATTATGATAACACAAGGTCACAGTTTCTCCATCTCTGCTTAAAGGCTTCTTACAGTAGAGTATGGCATCAATAGAGGGGTTCTTATGATGAAGGTAACTTCACATGTTAATTTGTGGTTTGTTTTTCCCCCCAGTTCATACAGTGTGTCATGAGCATCTAATTCGAGCCAGAGGAAGAGATGATGAGCATGACCCACATTCCACTTCGTTTTGTTTTGCTTTGCACCAAAAACTATCATGTGTAACTAAATGGTGGTATTTGCCTATTTTATAATTATTGATTTATATGCTTTTATAGTTTTGATAACTAACTAAAGAAGGAAAATTAAATAAATGCCATTTTAAGTTGATTTGTCTTGCATATTTATAATCTGCTTGATGTAAAAGTAAAAAAAATGTTGTTTGGTTTGATCATCTCTTCCTGTACTATTTTGAATTGTTCATATTGGAATGTGCTTTGTACCTTTCCCACACAAGTGGCTCAAAGTAGGAAGGTGGGTATATATTAAAATTAGTACGTAAAATGGAACTTGACTCTAGAAACCATATTTTGAAGCCTGAAATTAGCTGAACCATTTTTGCTAATAATTAAGGTGTTACTTTTTTAAAAAATACTCTTTGTACTTTTTAACATTGCTCCTCTTGATTCTTTAGCTAGCAGTAAATGTTAGGTTGTTAATCAATTCTTTTGCTATGGTGCTGATCCTGAATTCAACTCTCCTAACATAAAAAAGAGTGATTTGCATCCTTTTGAGAACATATACACATGTAAGTTCCTTTACACAAGTGTGTTCTTTTGGGGTGCAGAAGGGATTGTTATTTCTTTCCCAAAGCCAACCCCCTTAACAGCCTATAAAGTGCCCTTCAAGGCAACTCCATGTTTTGTGGGAAATTAATAGGAACATAGGGACCCCTGTCTCTATCCCTGTAGTTAGATGTGAAATGATGAAATCAATGTTGAAACCCAACAGGTGTCCCCAAAGGTCTCAATGCTCCTATAATAATCTTGTGCCTGGGTATGAGCATGTAGACCTGGGCTTTCCAAACATTTCATATTAGTGACACACTTTTTAGACAGGCATCATTTTGCAACACAGTAATTCAGTTGTCCTTGCAAACCATAAGTTAAATCAACCCCTTGCAAGAAATACAGACCTATACATTGTAAAAAAAATTTTCGTGTCAGGAGTGACTTGAGAAACTGCAAGTCACTTCTGGTGTGAGAGAATTGGCCGTCTGCAAGGTCGTTGACCAGGGGACATCCTGATGTTTATGTTTTGCCATCCTTGTAGGAGGCTTCTCTCGTGTCCCCACATGGGGAGCTGGAGCTGACAGAGGGAGCTCAACCCGCTCTCCCTGGATTCGAACCACTGACTTTCCGTCCCTTTGATAATTGGATTTTGAAAAAATTGGCTTGTTGTGGAAACATGGATTAGGAATACAGCTTCAGTTGAGACACCTTTTCCCCATGATAACTTTTCCAGGAGTGAATTTCTCTTCCAAGGGGTAGATTTCTCTCATTTCCTGTTGTCTCACTCCCATTCTTAACTATGAGTCAGAAGTCAGATGTTTGTAACTTGGGGACTGCGTGCATATGATTAGTAAGGTAATACACATTTCTAAGATTTTTGTCATTTTTCATGGGGTTCAGAGTGACTTCAAGCAAGTCCAACTTTGAGTCTCAGAGGAAGAAAATGCAAATCTCTTTTGAACAAACTTTGCCAAGAAACTGTGACAGGTTTGTCTGAGATTAGAAGTGACTTGAAGACTCACAAGAACAGCCTCACTGAACATTGGTAGAGAATGAAATTTAAATTAGGGAGGGATTTTCTTTATAGAAGAGTTGGATAACTCTGGCCTTCCAGATGATGATGAACTACAACCCTTAATTCCTGTTGACTAAGAGTGATGGATTGCAATCCAATGTTTAGTGGTCTATAGTCGCTCTCTACCGCTTTATAACATGAAGAACACAACCTTTGTGCCATGTTCCTTATTGCCATAGTATTTCCGTTTGAATAAAATTCTTTATGAATTACCTCTCCGCTAGCATCTTCAGTTGTAGACATAATTCATAGATATCCCTTACTTTAATTTAAGGGAGCATTACCTTGTATTAATATATTAATAAATATCTTATGTCATAGTAGATCTTGGATATGAACAGGTACACTTTGCCAAACATTGCATTTTAAAGACAAAAGAAAAGGACTTGCGGGATCAGATTTACAAAGTTAGGCTTGTTAAAAATGTACCCGTTTGGATAGAGCAGTGTTTCTCAACCTGGGAGTTGGGACCCCTTGCGGGGGTCATGAGGGAGTGTTGCAGGGGTTGCCAGAGACCATCAGAAAACACAGGGGTTCTGTGTGGCAAGCTTGGCCCAATTCTATCGGTGGAGTTCAGAAAGCTCTTTGATTGTAGGTGAACTATAAATCCCAGCAACTACAACTCCAGAATGTCAAGGTCTATTTTCCCAAACTCCACCAGTGTTCACATTTGGGCATATTGAGTATTTGTGACAAATTTGATCCAGATATATCATTGTTTGAGTCCACAGTGCTCTCTGGATGTAGGTGAACTACAATTCCAAAACTCAAGGTCAATGCCCACCAAATGCTTCCAGTATTTTTTGTTGGTCATGGGAGTTCTGCGTGCCAAGTTTGGTTTGATTGCATCATTGGTGGAGTTCAGAATCCTCTTTGATTATAGGTTAACTATAAATCCCAGCTCAACCCCACCAGTATTTAAATTTGGACATATCGGGTATTTGTGCTAAATTTCATCCAGTGAATGAAAATACATCCCTCATATCAGATATTTACATTACGATTCATAACAAGCAAAATTACAGTTATGAAGTAGTAACGATAATAATTTTATGGTTGGGGGTCACCACAATATGAGGAACTGTATTAAGGGGTTGGGCATTAGAAGGTTGAGAACCACTAGGATAATATTTTGGGGAAACCTTATACTTCCCAATTGTATTGCTATTACAATCTGCCTAATTTTACTGTGCCTCGATTGAACAATCTGAAAGAAAATAATTGGGCAAGAGGACGGGTTTGCTGATCATTGGAAGATTTAGTTGAAAACATGATCATAACTGGCAGCCATAGTCTATTTTGATGTAAAAATATTAAAACCTAAAACATTTTTGACAGATCCAGAGAAAGACTGGACCAAGACTTTGGTGTTTTTCCTGCAACAAATTAAACCCAACTACCTTCCTAGAAACTGCTAAGAGTGAAAGTTAATTTCTAACCTGCCAGCTTTTTGGTTGCTTCTGTAATCCAAGGTTGACAGGGAAAATGTGCAGTGTTTTGTAGCTATGTAAATTCTGTTTGAGCTGGTTTTCCATTTGCATTCAGATGGGATATTTCTGATCAGCAAAAGAACAACTGGACCTTTCTACTTTTGAAACAATCTTACATGCATAAACTCATACCTTTTTACATGTGCTCCATGCCTCCTTGGTAACATGCAAATTTAACCAAAAACAAATTTTAGCTGTGTATCAGACTGCCTTGCTGTTTGGGAAGTTGCAACGCACACTGGAAAGATCAGTTTGCCTGGCAGCCAGGCGGATAGGCACTGGCCTTTCTCTCAAGAACATTAACTGGGTTTGTCACTCTTGAAATTGTTAGTGGTAATTTGTTCTACAATTACAGTAAAATCTTGCTTATTCAACAATCCAGCAATGAGTGAAGTCATCCAGTGTTCTGTATTATCCAACCCAATCTGCCTCCTGTTCAGATCCACAGCTATTTCAATCCATCGCGAGGTTTTGGTGCTAAATTTGTAAATACAGTAATGATTACATAATGTTACTGTGTATTGAACTGCTTTTTATGTTGATTACATAGTTTGACGTTTAATAGGCTTTTCCTTAATTCCTCCTTATTATCCAACAGTTTCACTTATCCAACGTTCTGCCGGCCCGTTTATATTGGATAAGCAAGACTCTACTGTACTGAAGACAATGTGTAGTATAGTTCAAACATTTTCTTCACAGTTTAAACCTTTTAATTTACGCCACTTTATGTCCTGTAGATCACAGCTTCTGAAACTATTTTCACTTGCGAATTCTTTATACCCAATAATTTTTATGCAATACCAGATTTATAGCTATATTTTAAAAATGTTATACAATCAAATAAATTAGCATTTGCAAAGATTGCTAAACAGGCCATTTTTTGTGTTGTCGAAGGCTTTCATGGCCAGAATCATGGTTGCTGTGAGTTTTCTGGGCTGTATGGCTATGATCCAGAAGCAATCTCTCCTGATGTTTCTGAGGATGCCTGCCATAGATGTTGGCAAAACGTCAGGAGAGAATGCTTCTGGAACATGGCCATACAGCCCGGAAAACTCATAGCAACCCAGGCTAATTTTTGCTTTATAAATTACAGCTAACACATTTTCTATAGAGCCCAGTGTTACAAACTACACACAGTTTTGTTAAGAGATTCGTGTAAATATCTAAAACAGCCTCTAGGTGCCATTCAGAAACCAGATATATAGCTATATTTAAAAAGTTATACAATCAAGTAAATTAGCATTTGTAAAGATTTCTAAGCAGGCTAATTTTTGTGTGTTGTTGAAGGCTTTCATGGCCAGAATCATGGTTGCTGTGAGTTTTCCGGGCTTTATGGCCATGTTCTAGAAGAATCAAAAACAGCCACTAGGTGGCATTCAGAAAACCTTTACAGTTGCCAATTTTTTTTGCAATCCCAACATTAAACTCAGAGGACCCCATTTGGGGTCAGGACCCACAGCGCTTTAACTTTTTTTAAAAAAACCCCATCCCCTTTTCTGGATAGAGTGGCAAAAGGCTACCCAGGGAGACCCTAAAGAAACATTAATCCCACCTACTTCCTCCATTGCAAGGCCACTTACAGCCTTTTTGAATGCCTCGGCAGGAAAACTGTGACCGCTGCAACTGCAGGCAACTGTATCTTGAGGTGCTTTCCCCTTATCCACAAGTAATGTTATTATTTATTTATTTACCATATTTATACTTCACCCTTCTCCCCCCCGTAGGGGACTCAAGGCAGCTCACATATATAGGCAGCAATTTGATGCCATATGAACATATATAACATCAACATATACATTAAAACAATAATTGAAAACATACAAAACCTTAAAACCATTTATTTAAAATCACGCAATCCAACATAGTCTCTGGCCGTTCCAATTTGTCACTGCACTACTCCGTATTCTCTTATTGCACTGATAGATTACTCACTGAATACTTTGCTTGGTCACACATCCATGTCTTTAACCTTTTCCTGAAGGTCAGGAGGGAGGAGGTTGGTCCTAGGGAGAGAGTTCTGTAACTGAGGGGCCACCACTGAGAAGGCCCTGTCTCTCGTCCCCACCAACCACACCTGCGAAGAAGGTGGAACCGAGAGCAGGACCTCCCCAAAAGATCTTAACATTCATTATTTTGCCCCCAAATAAACCTTCAACTTATATAAGGGGTCAATTTGTACACAAGGATGCAGCAAGCACACTAAGAAATCTATTAGTGAATTGCAGCTGCTCACTGGAGGGAAAGATATTAGAGGCAAAGATGAAATACTTTGGCCACATAATGAGAAGGCAGGAAAGCTCGAATATAATGATGCTGGGGAAAATAGAAGGAAGAGGGGCCAACCAAGGGCAAGATGGATGGGTGGTATCCTTGAAGTAACTGGCTTGACCTTGAAGGAACTGAGGTGTGGGCTGGTCCAGGTCACGAAGAGTCGGAAGCGACTGAATGAATAACAAGCCCAAATAGGACCAAAACCATTTAGAAGCACCAAGATATTTTTTTCAAGCAGACACCACAGCAGTATAGTCATTTGAGAGACATTTTTACTGATGTTACAATACATTAGTAACAACGGGAACCAGTCGTTTTGTATTAAATATTTTTATCATCATGAAAAGTGCAAGAATTGAGACTCACAAGTCACAATTTTATAAAAAGGAACATTTTATTCGGTTATATGAAAGCTGGCTGGATGCATTTGGATACTCATTGACAAAAATGTCCCGTTCGAAGGTATAATGATACGTATATAATGGGCCAGAGCTTGGGAAAGTTAAAAGTTTGGGCAAAACAAACCTTAGATTTCTTCAACCAGAATTGGCTAGAATTCTGGGAGCTGTAAAATTAGCTTGGCAAGCTCTGTAATGGGCAAGGCTTTTGCACTGGCATGTCTCAAAATCTGATCTATCAAGCGATGGACAGAACTGGGAAATTTTCATATGGCAAAACAATTACAAGATGCAACATGATTCGCTACCATGGTAGAAACAATCTCCATCATTCCTGGTTTGTACCATATGGGATAGTTTTTAAAGTACTTTTAAACGGATAAATATCAGCAACACAAATACACTATTTTTTTAAAAACGAAAATTCAGCAATTTAGACATACTGTATACAGAATACATTGCTCAGGTGTTCATATTGAAAATAGTTTCAACAGCATACTTAAAATGTGATCAGTGCTACCATGAAAAAAGCCACAGCAATTATAATAAAGTGTTGAAATAACATGGCAGCCTCGTGTTACATGGCATTTACGTTCCATTCAAATTAACGGCATTAAAAGCACGCCTAGGTTAAAGTGTGGCCAGTATTTGAATAGTACAGTGGTATATTTTTGCTCCAAGATTGCTCAAATATCTACAGTTTAATAAGCCCCAGACTGTATGTCCTGGCAAAGACTACACAGATTTTCAACACTGGCAACCAGCAGGCATTGTTATACTATATGATACAGGTAATATCTTAGCACATACAGAATTACAACTGTGTCATATTTATATAGTTATTATCAGCTAGCACCACTATATCCAAGGCAGTGAAGCATATTTACAAGGTTTTTTTCATACTGGCTGTAAAAATATATTCTGAAAATCTTGAATATTAATCTTAAGGCCTCTAAGGCTGCAATTCTACTGTCCCAGCATCATGTATTGGGGCAATAGGAAGAAGCAGATCTTCCCCACAAGGCATTGACCTTAGAAGGGGATACTGAATGCTGGACCTACTCACGCCCTCCTAGTCACCATGGAGTTTCCACAGTGGCCCTCAGTTGGCTCTCTAAACTAGGAATGAGGACAAAGGGGCCATGTTTCAGATGTGGGGTACAAGAAGACCTGGACCTTCTAGATTCAAAGGCCTCTCAGCCCCTGATCATGCCCCCAATTCAGAATGAAACACAAGAGTGTCTCAGAGTATATCTCTCTATGGGAGTAGGTTGTTTCTGCAGTGTAAATCACCAATAAGCCCTGGATGGAGGAAGGAACAAGTGATAAATCACTATTGTTGACCCATCTAAGAAATATTTGTAAGGTTCTAGATGGAACTGAGCCACCAAAGTCGAACTGCTCCCTCTATTCACCTCATGCTTTAGGATTGCATTCTAAAAACCAATAAAAATTCCGGATTTGTAAAGCAGAGATGAGTTAATTTTACATAGAAGTTAAAGATGGCTTTTATTCTGCCTTTTGCCCTGTTTGCTTGTTTATGAGGTGTGTTGACTCAACACATGAAGAATACTCATCCTACCTTTCTATGTCTCGAGATTCATCACTCTAATTTGGGATAATTATAACTTGGCACCATGGGAGCTTTTGCTGCAGATAGAAACGCCTTAAACCAGATTAGGAATCCATAAAGAATCATGGTTACAAATGGCAAGGAGACCCTCTATGTGTAGTGGAAGCTCTCCTGTTCAGACTACAGTCAGCCCTCCACATTCGCTGAGCGCAGAAGACCCCTATAAAAGGTCTTTTCAAATCTAGGATAGAGGTATCAAACATAAGGCCCTCCAGGTGTTTGGGCCTCTCATTCTCAGGAACCCTAGTCAGCTTACCCAATGGCCAGGAATTATGGGAGCTGAAGTCCATAACACCTGGCCACATCTTTTACACCACTGAACTAGGAAATCACTTTTCTAGGAATCTCAAGGTGCTCCAATGTGACTCAACTTCTGTCATTTAGTTGTGCTAGAGGACCTTGAGATTCTTAGAAAGGATTTCTCTTTAGGAATCTCTAGATCCTCCAGCTCAACTCTCAGGTCAACTTTTGCCAAAAATAAATAAATAAAAAGACAACAGAATCACATTGGAGGACCAAAAGATTCCTAGAGAGACCATATTAGTTAAATCTGCACACAATCAAATCTGTGAATGAGAAACTTTTCATGTGAGGATAGTGATGGAGCTACAGACAGAAGAAGGCAGGGCAGTGTGCCTTTTTCATACATAGGATTTACATGTGCTTTATATAATGCCTGAATGGCACTATTGACCTTTCTCACAGGGTGTATGTTTGTCTAAGTGTCACTACTTTCCTTCTGGGTTTCTCATCATTATTTTAACCTGTTTTCCTACCCGAAAGAGAAAAAAGTCAGAATAGTTGGCACCATTGCCTTTCGACATAGCACTAGCCGCCCATCTGGAATGGCTACAGTCTGTTCACTGGGTCATTTCAATTTGCCCGATTGTCAGATTGATAATGGGGCCTGCCTCTTCTCAAATTCTTCTCTTTGTTTGATTGAATATGCATGTGCCTTCAAGTTGTCCCTAGCTAGTCAACTTATGGTGATCCCTTGAATTTTACAGGGTCTTAGGCAAGGGATACTCAAAAGGGGTTTTGCCAGTTCTTTCCTCTGAAATATAATCTACAGCACCTGATATTTATTGGTGGTCCCCCATTAATTACATGATCCTAAATCCAACATGACTGCTGGTGGTAATGTTGGACTGTTAGGCTCTTCTCCTACAGTTGCCGTTAGTGCTCCAATGCTCCGGAGGGTCTTCCATCCATTGGAATGAATTTTTGAGAGTGCCAGCACTTCTCTTAGCCTGGATTCTATTATGCAAGCAGACATTTGGCGCTAGACACAGCCTGTGCTTTTCAGTGGTTTTATTTATTTCCCTGAATTCTCTACAGCTTTTTATTTCAAATAGCCTTGGACTAGGACTGGTTTAAGATATTTCCACCAGAACCAATCTTCATTAGAACTGGAGACTAGACCTATCTTTCTGATAAGGTCAATGATGGCTATGTTTAGCAAAATTTTTAAACTAAAAATAAATGATGAGATTGCTGTTCAGGTGCCACAAGGCACTTAATTGTTAATAACAGCTAGTGGGGAAACTACCACAACAAAAGGTTGATTATGCCAACTAATTTTTAAAAAATCATATCATTAATTGCAAATAGACACAAACAATGAATAACAACTTTCTTATTCTCAATAGCAAACAAATATAAATCACTTTATGGCTAAGAAATAAAATAGATTAAGGGGATGTAAATGCTATTACAATGTTCTAAAAGTGTTTCAGGAAGTAACTGGTATTAAAAATAAATAAAAAATGAAGCTAGCCATTATAATATATGAATGTACACAAAGTTAGGGAAGACCATTTTGTGAGAACAAGCATAGTGATACAAAACTGTGCAAAATTATGAGTTCTCCTCAACTCTTCTCTTGCTCTAGGTAACACTAGCTGGAAAAGAACTGGATCCCCCCCCCCCCAAATAATGATTAAACATATTCTTGAATGTTAGTCTTGGCTCTAGCAGTTCTTAAAAATGCTAACAAACCCATTTACACTATTGTTGCCTTTACACTAGTAATGTAAGCCTGCAATCTTATGGACACTTACATAGAAATATGCCCCATCACTGTGAAATTTAATGTTTGTTTAACATGTATAGGATTGCTATAAAGCAGTGGTTCTCAACCTGTGGGTCCCCAGAGGTTTTGACTTTCAACCCCCAGAAATTCTAACCACTGGTAAACTGGCTGGGATTTCTGGGAGTTGTAGGCCAAAACACCTGGAGACCCACAGGTTGAGAACCACTGCTATAAAGGTTTTAACATAGGAATCATTATCACTCTTTTCTCTATTTATCTGTGGACAAAATAGTCCATTCTGTGTGCAACCAGTACAAGAGGAAGCAATTCCAAGGCTTAAGGCACTTCCTATGTTACAACATACCTTCAATCTTTGGAATAGCTCTCCATACACCACAATAAGGAGTGTATCTAGGGGCCATTCTCAAAGACGACTTCACAGATTTCTTTATAACAGAAAAACTATCCAAACTAGGTGATACAAAACCTTTTTTTAAAATCCTACACACACACAAAACTACCATCAAATATTTTTGAGAGAGAACCAAAAAATATCATAGAAATGAAATTGTAAGCTATACAATATAACTAATTAATTATATGAATAAATAGATAAATGCTACACTTCAAAAAAAGAATGCCACTATAGATCGTGAATAAATCTGGTTAAAAAATTCAATTACATTTGCCTGTTTCAAACACTTATGATGCAAGCTGCTTTGGACAAATGAAATAATTTAAAATCATCCTGAGCACAATGAGATGGAAGAGGCATGGGCTTAATGCATATTCCAACCCATTGTCAATTTTATTTTGCGCAGTTAGAGACATAGCAGTTATCCAAATGCGAAACACAAAGTAAAATTATCTGTAACACACCAAAAAAGTACAAAACATTCAAGAGAATAGAAAGAATAAAGTCCAAAACACATCTTTCCTCTAATTTATGGTGCTGGAAGAGAAGCAGACAGCCTTCGAATTATAGAAATGGAAGTATTGTAAAGAGGTTTGTATTATCTCTCCCTGTGCTCAGACCAAGTTTAATAGGGTCATCTGTTGAAGACAAACAGAATTTTTCTATTACACACATCTGTCTTATATATCTAAGGTTTGTGTATCTTCTTCATGGTAGATTGTGGGAGCTGTAATCTCTCTAGTTCAGTGGTTCCCAAACATTTTTTGACCAGGGACCACTTGATCAGGGACCACTTTGGTCAAGGACCATTCTCCAACATTAGTACCAAAAGGGTTACAAATCAGTTTTAGGTCAACTTTAGATTTAGTTTGATTGTTTGGAGAAAATTGCATTGTACAGACCACATCAGCTCTAGTTTCTGATACAGAACATATGCTATCCAGTAATCGTCCACAGAAAACCATATTTAATAATCTAGAGCCAATGTGGTAGTAGCAATCTTTCATGGGTAGTCAGCCCCTCCCCTCCCAACATCCCTGTTGCCTCAGCACTATAAGAGTGTTTTGCAAGACCAGTCACTCTCGTTGCCATGTGGTTTCGAGGCAATGGTATAATGGTGAGGTTGGGGACCATATTTTCATTCTTACAAATCACTGGTGGTCCACAGACCGCAGGTTGGGAACCACTGCTCTAGTTGAAACCAAAATAACTAATCTCCAGGGACAATCCACATTCATAAGACATTGTCTCCAGGGACAATCCACATACACAAACTTGCTAATATCTTACTTTTAGATCCTTTCAAAACACAACATTCTTGACCCCAGATTCTCCCTTCCTGTCCTATTGATGTGCATTCTTCATCCTTTCACATACCAAGGAAAATCACCTTTGTAAACTTAGAAATCCTGTACTAGACCACAAAAGTAAAAGCAGAAATTTATTAAAATTATTTTTAATTTTACATTAAGATGACCAAGTGACTGAATATTTACAAGCATTAGTAGTGGCCAGCAATGTCATTTTCGACACAGAAGCTCAACTTCTCAATGAATGCTTTAAAGGACCTCAACTACCATAACACATTCAGCTTTGTCTATCAAAAAGAGGGGTCTTCACTCTTCTCAAAACTCTGAAAATAATAGATGGATGGAAGAAAATAAAGAAAACATCACCAGTATATACTGAACAACACAGAGATTTGTATCAAATAAAAAGATCCAAAAAGGCACATGATAAACACCTAGATATTGCATCTAAAAAGCTAAGGGGACAGGCTGTTAATCAACAATAGAAATTGAGTTGGTCATTTAACTTCCTTCAGCTTGAGGAGAAATGTTCCAGAAGTTGATTCAAAATCAATTGAAATTGATACTAGAAGAAAGAAGCTACAGCTTTTCTCCAGACCAAAATCCTGGCTTATATAAGTATTCACCCAACAAAATCCTGACTTAATTATAAATTCACAAAATTAGACTTTTTAATATATATATGTATGTATGTGTTTGTGTGTGTATATATATATATGTATAGATAGATAGATAGATTTTTATACCCTTTCAGATATTTTCTTACATGGGAATTTCTGTGTCTTCTCTCTTTCTTATTCATTACAAATCAAAATACTTACCAAAATGTTATGCCTCTTATAGGGATATTCATGACTGCAGAGCCAGTATTGTATAAATATAACTGGCCAAGTCTTATAAATATAATATTTTCAAAGTCTTACATATTTTACAATTGGAGATACCCTTATAAGTACCATAACTTTAGCTTCTCGTAGAACTGACATTCTCATATAAATGGGTTTTTTCCATATAAGTCCAGCTACATGAAGGAAGTTCATGCATGGCAACACATCTATTAAAGGAATTGTGTGAAAGAGGTAGAAGAATCAGAAATACAGATTTACATTTCCGCTCTGTTATTGTCAAACTACAGGATGATACTATATGCCTAACATTGTTTTAGACTATGAGATTTTATTTCTCAGTTCCCAAAAGGAAGAAACAAGCCCTTGAATCCATGTTCAGTGGTTCCCAACCTTTGATCCTCCAGATGTTTTGGACTTCAGCTTCCACAATTCCTAACAGCTGGTAAAATGACTGGGATTTCTGAGAGTTGAAGTCCAAAACACCTGGAGGACTAAAGCTTGGGAACCACTGACTGGTGGTGTCTTTTTAGCCTGGGTACTAATTGGTAATATTTTGCCCAGATTTCTTCTCATAGATGGTCAACTGTGCAGCCAGAAAGTAGGACTAGACAGCACCTTGGTATAATCCAACACGGCTCTTCTTATGTTCTTAATGTCATAATAGGAATATAGCACATCACTCTCAATACTCTACTTCAAGCATATCTACACTAAAAATTCTGCTACTACAAAGAACTCAACATTAAAAAGAATGCCCATTGGGTATTATAGGAAGAAAATCTTGCACCACAGAATTACAACAAAGTTAAAATAACTATTTTATGCTGCATTCATTTTGAAATGAAATTAGGAAGAAGAAGACCTTGCAAGCTTGATTGGAACAGTGATAATTGAAGAAATTTACAGAGCAATCCTATGCATGTCTACTCAAAAGTAAGCCCTACTGAGTTCAAGGGATATTACTCTCAAGCAAGTGAGTACTGGATTGCACCCTCAAAGGCTCTGAAAATATTCCTCCCTCTTCCCTTTCACATATCTATCTCCTGCAGTTTTGTGTCACAGGGGGAATAATGAGGCTCATGTAATGAATGGGAACATTATGTTACACTGGCAACATTATGTCGCCATCACAAAGTTCCCTTTGTTTATAAAAACAACCCAAAAATCCCCACCCAACTGCAATAAGCTCAGGTGAAGGGTTTCACCCATAAGGATTGTTATCAACGTATGTACATACATACATCATTTTGTAATAAATACTTGTATAGTACACTGATGGCGCATCTCCTGTGCTGTTCTACTTGTACTTTCTAATTATCCCTCAAAATTCAATCAAACCATTCAAAGGACACCTCCTGTTTTTCCAAACATTGTGCTATTTATGCAATACTGTGCCAGTGAACAGGACAAAGGGTGCTATCCTTTAAACATGGAAGTTCTAGATAGCCAGATTTCAGAAAACAGGATGTACATAGAAGCAAATATGCCACTTTGGCCACTGTCACATTAGTTGTAGTTGTTCCATTCATGAAGGCAAAGGCAAACTCTATTTGAGTCCAAGTGTATTCAGCGGGAGGGATGACTACATTTCTTCACTGGGATTCCTGTTCTACGCAGATCCAGGAAAGCATTCTAGACCCTTTGTATTAGTTCATTTCCTTGGAACCAAAACAAGGTCATTCATCAACTTCTGCATAGAAGTCATGTGACAGCAGGAACCAATATGGAGAAAATGGGGGTGAAAACTTAGCATTGCAGTCAAACTTTGAATCTTCTCCACTTTGCAACTGCTACTAAACCTGATGCTGTTTAATCATATAATGGTATCTTATGCTAAATAAGACCACTGGACCATCTTTAAAATATATTGTCTACACTACACTGGAATTGGTTCACCAGGCTTTCAGAAAGATGGCTTTCCCAGTCCGTGCTGGAGACGCCAAGGGCTGAATATGGACAATTTCCATGCAAAGCTTATGCTTTGCCAATCACCTACAGTCCTTTTCTTATGCCTTGTGTAGTTAGACCCTTAGATTCTCTGACATGCAATGTTCAGTCATAAGTGCCCTTCAAGAAAAATGAAAAACAAAACCCACCACACTACATAACAGAAGTGTTGATATTTTACAGTTTTAAAAAATATTTATATGGATTTTTATGAGAATATAATCACAAAAAGTTTTTGAAGTCTCTTTGGGTGAATTGATGCTTATGCCAAAGATGTTTGCCTCTTCAGATCCCACTCATGGAAAACAAATCTCTTATTCCTGCATGCTAATTCTACAGTATAATTACTAATCCCTTACATATGGAAAGTGGCAAACAGAGGGGTTCATGCATACAGCATAAATGTTTACATACCAAATTCTGATTTATCTTTCATGTTGAGACTGTTAGACCAGAGGGGGAAACACTTTTGGGACTCCAATTAGTTTTAACTGAATGTCTACATATCATCTGTCGTCATGCGGAATAAACTTATCATAGTCAGGCCCATACATCCCAGGTTACTTTTTGTTGAAATGGTTGGTTTGTTCTTCATATGTAATTGGTAACATTTCAAACAGCTGCAGAAAATGGACTTTTCTTTCATCAGGAGGTGGCTTGCTGAGCAGCATCGCTGTGCTGTCCAAATGTCCACTTAGCAGATGAATGTTCAGTGACTCAGTGTTGCTGAGTTTGTATAAAATTTGAAGTAAACAGTTCTTGGCGTCAGCTCAGGTAGACAGTGAAACTAAATGGAAGTCTCCCATAGCTATAGAAAGAGAAGAAAGAGGAGACAGGCATGACATGTTCCATTATTCTCTGGATAACCTATATAATGCAATATTTTCGGCTTTTAAAACCAACAATCAGCATGACAAAATGGATGGTAGTCCAAAATCAAGTTCCATCTGAACCATAGGTTCTTGAAAATGGATCTAGATTCATGGTTGAGCTGGAGCTTGAAGCAGATCTGGAAGTCTTCTCTCCATGCCAATCCAATCAACCCTCAATTTGCACAGAATCAATGGGAAGAGGGTCCGCTGAATAGATATAAGGAAAGTGGGGAAGAAATCTTCCAAAGTTGGACGGAAGTGTTTTCTGCAAGCATAGAACCAGTGTAACAAAAGGAATGGAGTCCCAAGTTCAAGGAAACTGGCTCACATCTCCAACTCTCTATGTTATGCACTATCCCAATGACTTATTATTATTGTTATTATTATTATTATTTATATCTCAGCACCATCTCCCCGAAGGGACTCTGGTGGCTTACAAAGCACTCCAGGGTGCACATATAACATACAACCAGTAAAAATGGTGCAAAAGTATAAAACAAGTCACATAAAATTATAACAACACCCCCCCCCCCCCCGCCTGGCAACGCATGTTAGAATAAGATCAAAACAATACAATTTTAAACCAATAGTAGATAAAACTAACTGCCATCAATTTACACTTGCCAAGTGTGAGCTTCATCTGGGCCCATTCAGCCTACTCATGATCAAAGGCCTGTCTGAACTTCCATGCTTTCAGGTTGGAACGGAAGGATTGAAAGATGGGGGCTAATTGAATCTCTTTTGGGGCGGTATTCCAGAGCTGGGGGGGTCACCACAAAGAAGGCCCTGTCTCTCGTCCCCACCAACCGTGCTTGAGAAGGCGATGGGACTGAGAAGGGGGCCTCCCCTGTCAATCTCAGAGCCCATGCCAGTTTGTAGAAAGAGAAGTGGTCTTGAAGACAGGTTGGACCTGAAGCATATAGGTAATAGCCTACACCTTGAATTGAGCCTTGTTGAAAGCCAGTGGAGCTGCTTCAGCGGGGGGAGGGGGGTATGTTCCCTGTATCTAGCTCCAGTTAGTAGTCTCGCAGTCAACCTTTGCACTAGCTGCAGTTTCAAAACTGTCTTTGAAGGTAGCCCCACGTAGAGTGCATTACAGTACTCCATTCTGGATGTAACTAAGTTTTCTTGCCCTACTAGAAAATGAGGTGGGGGGGGGGGGATCAGGATGAGTGCATGTGTGACTTCAGGGAAGTGATTCTTACCTGAATCCCACAGACCCAGTGAAGTTCAAGGAGGAAGAAAGGACGATTGCTTACCCTGGCACTTACTCTGTTGGCTCTTTTCTCTTCATCAGGAAGTGGAGGCATTGGATACGGGTATTTTCTGCTGGAGGCAATGGAACCAGTAGATGACGATGGGGACTTTGCAGGAGAAAGAGTCCTAAAGAGTTGGAATAAGAAAAAAATAAGCAGAAGATCTTGGGTTATCAGACTTTTTGCAGAAAATGAAAATATTCTGACATTTTTTGAGCATGTTTTTCAATGGCTCAGTTAGGACTGTTGGCTTCCCAGCCACATTTTGGGGGAATGCACACTTTACAAGCCCCCTCATCAGGAATTCTATTTCATTCTAGATTTTCCTGGGGACAGCAATTTAGTAGCGTGAAATGGTTTTCACTTCTTGTAATTTTTTGTACCAAAACTATAGAAGTCATAATTATTTATAAGAAAGGAAATAGTGGTTTATGATGAGCCCAAATTTGTGTAGCATAGTGACTAATAGACTGAGCAAGTATCAACTCAGCCCAGGTAGCTTTAGGTAAAGAATTCTCTCAATTAACCTCAATCTGCTATCTGAAATGTGAGGCTAATGAGACTGGTCTATCATATAGAGTTGTACTATAAGATTATTGAGGTAATGAGTGAAAAGGGCACCAAGATTTTTACATTGTTATCTTCACCACTACTATTTAACTAATTATTCCAATATATACAAGAAAGCATCATTTCGTTCATGCATTTATTTTTTACTGGTTGACAAAGTGATGCAGGCCAAAAGGACTTCATAAGTCTGCTGAAGCAGGAAGGAGCCTTTCCATGGCCACCCCAAATCATCATAGGCTCATACCTTACCTGCAATCTTATGTGTCTACTTGGAACTAAACCCCGCTAGATGTAGCGAAGCTTACTCCCACTGTGCAAAAGATTGCAGCCCAAGTTGCTTATAAATAACTCATGAGATACGTTTAGCACAGTATATAAAGAACATGTTTATATAAAGGCATGCAGTTCAGGGGGAAAAAGGTTAATTATGAGGCAAAGACAAAGGGCTCAGTTGTTAGACATGCAAGCATCATCCAGTGCACATTGGTTCCAGCCAAAGTTTGAATGGACTGAGGAGTGGAGGGAGAAGGGTAGACAAAAATGGACTGATTAGTCAGAGCAATCAGCATTTCTGTACAAGGTGAAGAAAGTAAGCAGTAGCAAATCAATGTCCGCATCACATGGAAGAAGCGTTGCCAGGTGTCTCCTATTATAAAGGATGTCCCTTATCTGAGGGCCAGGATGCCCAACCCTCCTAGGACTGGTAAGTGTCCCTTAAAGAATGTCCTGTGTTTTTCAGTGTGGTTTTGTCATAAAGATAGAAATGTGTGCATCGGTTAATATAAGAAGATGGACAATATATTAATTCTACAGAAAAATACATGGCTAAGCTAACTGAAATCAAGACTTCTATCAAGTATGCAAAGGAAGCTTGTAGCACCTTACAAACTAGCTAAGAGAAAAAAAGTTTTGTTTGGTGTTTAGGTATAACACACACTTATCAACAGGTACTTTCTGATTGTCAGCCTTGCATGTCATGCATCTCAACAGTCCCTTGTTGCTATGTTGAAAACCTGGCAACATCACATGGGAATAGGTCGGTAAATCTTCTGCACTTCATTTGCTAGAATTTTACATACAAGGACAGGAATGACTGAACTTGTTCAGAATCAGATTTTTAACTTGCAGATCTTGGACTTCAATTGCCATCATTGTCAGTCAGCATGGAGTTGCAATGATGAGAACTTGCAGTCTCATATATCTGCAGGGTCCCAGTTTGACAAAGGGCTTTTCTAGAGTAGTCCAAACCAATTGAGACCTACCTAGGAAATCCTAGATTGTGTACACAAGAAAACATAAAACACAATTGTCCCATGAACATATATACTAATCTTGGTAACCTTCTCTGCTCGGAACCACAATTCCCTTGATTCACCACCACCACAGAATCTAAACTTGCTGCTGTATGTTTGTACACATTGTTCCCATTGTTGTCTGTATTTTTGACTTGTTTTAAAATAAAATAAAATTCCATAAGGAAACATTAAAAAAACTTTACTTTGATTCAGATACTTGCATGAAATATTAAGATCACCCAACCGACTTGAGTCCTCTGCCCCTGGCATCTCTCTTCACACACAATACCTGCACTTCCCCCTGTTGACAACAACGATGGACCCACTCTGCATGGCTCTCCTAGTCCTTAGCCTGGAATCCTTGCTTATTCTCCTTTTGATGCAACTCAGATATGATTTATGAATTTTACACTGAATGGCATAGCTGCCCCCATATGGTCCAAAGTAACATCTTCCACAGTTAAGGTGAATGTTTTTACCCGACTATTGTATCAACAGATGATGTAACCATACACTTTGTCCAAGATATCTGAACTGAAAATGTCAAATAAGAATCGATATCTGATATTTATGACTATATCTCCTGCACATCTCTAGCATTCACTATGCTAGGTTGAACCAATGGGAGATAACATAGGCTTTGCTCACCATGAGCTCTTGAGTAAAATATTAACAGATACTTCTATTAGTTTTTACTCTCCAAGCTCAATAATTTGTTTACCTGCTCAAACACAATTTACCTGTTTCTGGACTTCTTCACACACACTCCTCCCACTTCCTGTATGCCTTTGCCGTTATTACTTCCACATGAATAAGGGACCTCCATGAGCTGCAGTTATCAACAGGTCTTGCAAATGCAGGGTCATAACTTCCTTTATTGAAGCAATCCATCTGTAATGGATGTACTCTTAGGGGGGATCTACCCTGTCCTATATCCCAGGATCTGAACCCAGATTATCTGCTTTGAACTTGATTATATGAGCCTACATTTCCAGATAACCTGGGATAGGAAGATAATCTGGGATCAAATCCTGGGACATAGGGCAGTGTCAATCCAGTCTTCCACTTTTCATACTAGCTTCCCATTTGCAGAACATATGCAGCAGTGCAATATAAAAATTCAAGTCTACTTTTGAACAAGTCTATCTCTTCAAGGGACACTTGGAGAACATAGTGTATAGGCCCAAAAGGAAATTATCATGTTATATAATGGATGGGATAGGGATAACCAACATTTTGTCTCCAATTGTTGTTTCTGTAGAACACAGGATCTACTCCAGGATTGAGAGAGCTATGTCCCTCCAGATATACTGAACTACAATATCTATGATTTCTTATTCTATGTCATGGTGGGTAGAATTTATAGGAGTCATAAACCAAACTATCTGGAAAGTCAAACAATTTCTATCCCTCATCTACTGAAAATCTAGCTAGATAATAATATGTCGATATGGTCAAATTCTACATTACATATTTTCATAGTTGATGTGATGTTTTTGAATTTTAAGGGAGAGAGAGCCATGTTAGTCCAAACATGGCAATCAAAACAGAGAGTCTTGTGGTACTTTAAGGCATGACATGTTTAATTTGCCACAAAATTTTGTGCACCCCACTCTATCTTATCAAATGCAAGTGATCACACACAAGGGATGTGATAACATGAGCTTATGCCAACTAACAAATGGCAAACTGTGTACGTGTGATGCTAAAAAATGTCCTGGATTTTTACATTTTTCTTCTATGTGGAGGAGTAATAAGAAATATAAGTAGCTGCCATCTAAATTTATCTTTTCATTCAGAATAATATGCAGACCAATTCTGCTTAGCACTAACTCAACTTTACTAGTCTCATAGTGGACTGTGAGTAAAAATGATTTGACTAAAGTGGTCACAAATTGTCTCATACAAGTATTCTCCTGAGTTTCCCCCAATCATGTTCAGGCAATTGTGGTCAGATACTACAAAATATGTCATTCAAGCTGTTCCAATGCCTCCTTGAAATTGTCAAAATCTACTCTGAAATACAAAATTGAACAGTTTTTGCAAAGACCTCACCTCTACTAAGATGAGAACACCTTTCAGATGCCCCAAAATGATGCTTTGCTGCAACATCCCTTTCAACAAGGTCCCTGGGGGAACTATATCAAACCTCCATCCCACCACTCAACTGTTGGTTTATTTTATCTTAGGCTGGAAGCTTTCAGATTCAGATATCCAGAGCTGAGAAGTCATGAGTATGACCAGAATGTTACAAAATTACATTTTAATAACAACTTGAACCATTTTCGGAAGGCAGTTATGAGAGTAAACAAGTTGAAGCTCAATCCAGATAAGATGGAGGTACAACTGGTGTCTCGGAGGAGATATTTGGGAACGGCATCTCAACCTGAGCTGGATGGAGTTGCACTCCCCCTGAAATCTCAGGTACACAATTTGAGGGTCATCTTAGACTCCGCTTGAAGCCCAGGTGGCAGTGGTAACTAGGTCGGCCTTCACACAACTAAAGGTTGTGAGTCAACTGCACTCTGGACCTGGCCTCAGTGCTACAGAAGTTGGTTACATCCAGATTGGACTATTGCAACATGCTCTATGTAGGCCTGCCCTTGAAGAGCATCAAGAAATTGCAGTTCATTCAGAGAGCAGCAGCCAGACTTCTGATGGGTACTAACTTCAAAGAGTGTACTACACCTATCCTGAAGCAGCTCCCTTTGGTTGCCTATCAAGTTCCGGGCTCAATTCAAGGTGCTGGTCCAGCCTATCTGGAACACTGTGTCCCTTGATACATCCCAGGGCATGAACTTAGATCAAGCAGGGAAATTCAAATCAATACACGAGCCCCCACCAGTATGATTTTACACATACCTATAGAAGGCTCCTCTGGAACTCCCTTCCTTGAAGAACTAAGGGTTGCTCCATCTCTGCTCAGCTTTAGGAAGCGGGTCAAGATTTTCTTATTTAACAAGGCCTTTAATTGAGCCATGGAAGGAGTTGGGGATTTTATGATCGGGATGAATGAGGGATACATGGGGGAGGAGGTTATGGTTTTAACTGAAATACGGGATTTTATTGATTGTTGTTTAATCATGGTTTTATCTATTTTGTTCTCCTGATTGAAGGATTTATAATGTTTGCATTCCATTTGTAAGCTGCCTTGGGTCCGCGTTGTGAAGAAAGGCAAGATAGAAACATCAAAAATAAATACATAAATAAATAAACTTAATAATTAAAAGCAAAATTAGTGTGTTTGTAAAATGAACAATGAGTTTGTAGTTATTTTAGTTAATTTAAGGGCATTAATAAATTAATATTTAATAAACAGTTGAATAAGAAATATCCACATTTTAAAAAGCAATCTTACTTTTTTCCCTTGCAAAAAAAAGGAAGACAATAGCTACGAACACATTATGGATTTAGATGAAGTTGCACACTTGTGCTTCTCTTCTATAACACAGCAAGTCTTCAATGGAGTAGTTTACACTGAAGTACGGTAAATACAATAATAAAATCTTTACGTAAAACAGCTCCAAATCAAAGTCCAGTACAACAGACTACTTTAAGCATCTACGACACAAGTTTCGTGATTGGAGAAGAGAAATGTCAACTTTTATGAGCATGTTTATAAATCAGAACTATATCCCTCCCATTTTGCCATCTAGATTGTGTTCTATAGGTTATGCAGAGAACTACACCAAACGGCTGTATTATATATCATTTTTAATTATAACATGGAATGAACTCAACCACATACTGCCATGTATTCAGTCCTTCAGGCATCATTTTCCCTATTCTCAGAATGCTATCAGTCCATTCTATATCTTTCTTGTAAGCCATCTTGGTCCCCATATCAGGAGAAACCCAAATAAATAAATAATCTTATCTGCATCATCACAACTGAAAATATCTCTAGTTTCCCTGCTGTGCTCTAGGTTATATTTCCATAAGACTATCAAGTACTGAAAGTCCATTTTCAATTTCAGAAAACAGGCTTCACATTTGCTGAGGTTAGACCCCTAAAAAGTGGGGAAACTACAATCTCTAGGTCCTCCAGTGTGATTCTAATGGTCAACTTCAACCAGAACTTGTCCAGTGAAAGCATGATTGCATGAACTTCTGGTGGCAACTGAACAGTAAAAATGAAATTACATGAATGACATCCATTTCTATTCTGGAAAATGCAAAACAACTTTCTTCTGATTTACAAATAGTTGACTGTCAAATGCTGAACCACTGAAATATTTGCTTTAAGGACGTTGTTGTTATTTATTCTTTCAGTCCAACTCTTCATGACCTTATGGAGCAGGCCACACCAGAACTCTCTGTTGGCCATATTACAATCATTTTTAATATTTAATGCACTTCTGTCATCAATAGGTTGCCATTATTATTTCTTATATATATATAAGAATAGATATATATATATATATATATATATATATAGTCAAAATTTGTGGTTGTTTCATCCTTCTTTTGATTTGTCAGTGTTGTTCATGGCCAACTGGCAACACAAATAAAAAGAGACCCAATAAATATTCATAGCATAGCATCTACCTTCCTCTACTAGTAAGAGAAATTGGTTCTTTTCAGCAGATCTTAATAGTGACCTCTAACGAATAGTCCAGGTATATCCTCTGATAGCACACTTTTATGTTTCTTGGTTGTTGTTAGAATTAACTATGGGGCTCAAATGAAGTCATTCTTGTTTGAGTACAAGAGTAAAATTCTGCTCTATGTAGAATTTAACATTTAACTCTCTTAAAAACACACTGGGAAAACTCACAACACAACCCTATGCACATATATACACTCAGAAGTAAGTAGGACTAACTTACTTCTCCCAGTTAAGTGGGAAAACAACTGCAGCCTAAAGCCTACTGGTTAGTCCCAACAACAGTAGATCGATAGACACAGTTGCTAAATTGTGATTCAAGATGTAGTTATATCCCACCGATTCAATGGGCCATTTCTAGTTTGGACCAACAATAGGATTCAGGCTTACATGTGTTATACAACTACTGTATTAAGCTCTAGCTATTTAGGGCTATGGTAATTCAGTTAGTACTAGACAGATATCATGCCCATAAAACAATATGTGGCATTAAATGACGATAAAGCTACTAAAAGCTAAAGATGGGTGATGGGAAATGCATGCGCTATGATCATCCTTTCCAACGGCTTCATTAAAACATTCAGAAAAGAACTGCAACCACACAATGAAGCCTCCAAAAGACGTCAGAAGGCAGCAAATGAACAAATGAACAAAGGGTCCTCAGCACCTAAAGGATGTCACTTGGATCACAAGGAAAAAGAGTCCCTTCATATCCGGAATATGCTGGGACAGCTCTTAAAGATGATAGAGAATTAATTTGCAAAATACCTAAAGTAGGGTCCTTCAGTGTTTTTATTCACATCTTCTACCCACTTAGCTACATTATATTCTCTTTTGAACCATGGATTTAAATACCTGCAAAAAGCAACGGGAGGAATAAAGACAGCAGAAGAATAGAGAAATATCGGAAAACACACAGCACAAGCCCGGCTTCCCCAACCCCCAAGTGCTAGAAATTGCATTCAATGAGTCAATAGATGTTAGGCAGTGAAACTCTGAGCTGTGAGCTTAAAAATGAATCCCCCCTGGAAATTAAAGTAGGCTTACATTTTCAATATACTGTCTTTCAATACAGCCATAAGTATGGGGACCTCATCTCCAGAGTACAAGAACATACTTCTTACATCTCTAAAGTAGAGCTCAGTTTGGAGTCTAGAAAACTTTGGAAATTATTTCATGTATTAAGAGAGCAGAGAAAAGGAACTATAACCACCTTTGTTTATGTTTTATAGGCAATATCCAAAATAGGAAGCAGAGACAAGTAAAAGGTTCATATTATACTAGCAGCTGTCCTTCAACAATTATAATTCATTTAACTTGGTTGGCTAGTGGGCATCTCTTGAAAGGCTCAAGGTTAGTCATTTTATTCCATTTCCACCTCTTTAACCAAATTCACAAACTGAAGGAGAGAAAGGAATATTATCTGCCTTGTACCATGACATTTCTAAATATTAATAGACTGACTACCAGAAGGGGGCCTGTTGGTATATGGTCCCTGATTCCTAGCAGAAGATTGAAGTTTATGGTCTTTGGGGGTAATTCTATTTCTACAGTTCTAAATAAACTTAACCCAATAGGAAAAGAAAAGAAATTGTTTACATTTGCTGTCAAATGTGGGTTGATTAACAGGTGGACATCTTATCAATGCTGCACAAAAAGCTACTTTGCATCACACCACAGTACAACTAGCCATTCTCACACGGCAGATTGAATATGCAACTCATACGGCAAATACCCCAATGTTAGAATACTTGACTCTGCAGAAAGCTTGAAATAGTTACATTTGTAGGCAGAAAATCCCAGAATCCCCCAGCCCACCTGGCTAATGATGGTTTCAAGGAGTTATGGTTCAAAAAAGTAAATGCTCTAAGCTCTAGTTCCGTATGGCAAGCTACCACACATATAAGCATCTTGCAACATGATGTGATCCACCAAATTGAATGAGTTTTCTGAAAACCAATGTGAAGTCTTTCTATGTATGTAAACCAATGCTGTGACTCATGGATGGACAGCCTACTCTGCTCTATAAATATGGCTGATATAAGATGGGCAACTGTGCATGCAAAATATCCATGGGTTTTGGTCAATATGGATGAGAATTCCATCCCTTCCCAAAGCCTATCTTCTGGCCACCAACACATACTAGACATCATTTTCAGGGTTAAAATGTTCAGACTGGATCTAGCGGCACTTGCTAATCAACAGAACATCTACATCATTTTACTTGAGTCTTTCCTCATTTTTATACCCCAGATCAAGAATAATAACCCTTTGGACCTCAAAGTACTGTGTCCTAAAAATCCTTACCATGTTGGCTTGAGCTTCTGAGCATTCAAGTCCAAAATATCTGAAGAGCCACCATTTCCCCATCTCATGACCTAGGTGATATGAACCTCATTACTATCTCCACTGCTAGTAAAAAGACTGCTTTGAAGTCAGTGCGATACAAGAACAAACTAATAGTCTATGTCCTCCATAGGTTAATTTGAAATATATCTGTGGCTGATATACAGCCAGAGAGCCCCTGGTCTCCTACAAACTGCATTATAAACAGCACCACAAAATCTCTTGAGGCCACCAAAACTATGGAGAAGAATCTCAAGGTTTTTAATTTTAAAAAATCACTTGAAAATGTGTTCAGATAAAAAGAAAAGGGAAGGGTACTCAGGGTTATCCCAATGGCCTTTCAAAGGCAAGGGCGGGGAGGATCTACCTTTTTCTTCCCGTCTCTGCTTTATACAGTTGACCATGCACAGTCACTGGGGTTAAGGGCAAAGAACCCTCACAACAGTGGGAAAAACATGAATAAAAAATACCATGATTATTTTTGACTGAGAAAACATATCTCTGGTCATCTTTGGATCCTCCAGTGCAACTCTATAGTTAATATCCAGCAGCAGTTGACCACATAGTCATATTGGGCTATCTACAGATTCATAAAGATACCACAGTATCAAAGATACTTCAGATCCTCCAGTATAACTCTGTAGCAATTGACCACATAGTCATATTGGGGTATCTAGAGATTCTTAAAGATACCACAGTTATCAAATCCACAAAAGTGAAACCCAGAAATGTGGTGGCCTGTTTGTAGTCTCTTTCTATCATAACAATCTATGCTTCTCTTATCATTCCATAGTTCCGCTAGCTGGTAACATTTTGGAAGAAACTTGTGCCCATTTCTGCTTGTGTTGAATGGCGTTTGTATTATTAGAACAGATCAACATAGTTCATTTATTATAGCCAGCCAGCAGTTCTTATTTGTGTGCATCTCTTTTGGTTGAATGTATCTCTCCCATCACCAACCACATAAGCTCAGCCATAGCTTTAATTCTCTATCAGCCAGAAATACTTCTAAGTAAATCAGTTCCCTGAAGAAATTAAAAACAAGGAGTGCTTTATGTTTTCCATCTCAGTTCCTAATTTATAACGTAAAAGTTAAAAAGCACAGCTGGACAGCAAAACTTCTAGCAAAGCAATGGGCTCATGGCAGGATCATGTGCACTAATTCACATCTTGCAGTTTTAGTGAGCTCGTGCGAGAAGAAGTGCCAAACCTTTAACCTACATTTTTTATTGGAAAGGCTTGTTTGGTAACCATGAAGCACTCCTGATCTGGATTTTATAATAAGAAAAGAGAAAGTTATTACATCACAAGGCATGCAACTGTTGTACAACAGAGTTTGGAGGCTTTAGTGCCCATTACACAGACATAGTAACTTCTATTCCCCCTGATCAACCTGTGGTTGGAATGTTAATATCATGCCAGGTTGCTAAATTAAATCTGGAAATTGGGGTAACTGTGCATCGGTCATCATTGATATATCATAACCTGTCCAATTAATGAGCGGGGAGTGGTTTGGAATGATGTAAATTCTCAACTAGCTTACACATAAAAACTAAATCAATGACTTGATTTGGCTTGCAATGCAACATGCAACAATGCAAAAGTACCAGGTTGGTAAGAGTGGAGAAAAAAGTAGACATCAGGCCAGCAAGAAGAAGGGCTTAGCTAGCACTGCCATCAACAGAAGAATCTCCAAGCGATCAAAGGCATTTTTGGCTACAATGAAACTTCTGAGAAGGAACTTTGAATGGGATTTTCAAAACAGTTGCCCCAAACAACTGACCTGTGTTCCTGATTCCCTGCCTGGGGGTGGAGAGAGCCCTCTTGGCTTATGCCTTGGGGCGGGATTGGATTGGTGTGGGAAAGCCCAGGCTCAGAAGCATGGGAGACCCGGCTGCAAAAACACAATATGTAATAGAAAAAAAATCTAAGCCAAATTGCATATCACTGATAACAATGAGGAAGATGCACACCTAGAGGCAAAATTAGTATGAATTAACACAGAAGGTTAATATGGTTATTTGGGAAGTAATTCATCAGGACATGCTTAAGACATGTTGGTTAAATTGCTAGTTTTCATAACTAAAACTACCTGCTAAACCTTTATTGAAAACACCAGGAAACACTAAACACATTTTACTGAATCAATTCAAAATAAGCACACAAACAAAAAAATCAGTTCCAACAAAAATCATTTTTCACTCTCAGTTATTATCTTCCGTTCCACTAACAGAGCATCACCCAGGAAAAAACACTCCTTTACAGCTGTGCTTTTAGGCTCACAATGATAGTAAAACTAGGCATTGCCTATAACCGTCGTTCTCAACCTTTGTGTCCCCAAGTGTTTTGGCCTACAACTCTCAGAAATCCCAGCCAATTTACCAGCTGTTAGGCTTTCTGAGAGTTGAAGGCCAAAACATCTGGGGACCCACAGGTTGAGAACCACTGGCCTATAATCTGTCAATTGAATCCTGCAAAGGGAGAAAGGAGAGCTTTGATTGGTTGTATTCCAACGTCATACTAAAATATGGAATTATCATGCCAGTAATGAGCCCAGCCTTTCCCTCCATGCTGAATGCTCTTCTCTACCCACCACAGCACATGGCTAAGAGACAGGATTTTTCTAACTGTTTTTGATGAATGTGAGCTTATTATAGTGTTTGGACCCAACAAATGGTAGCTCATCCCAACAGATGTTTGCTTTATTGAAGTAAGCCAAATTCAAACCCTTTTTCAATCTCCAGCTGGCTCACCAAAAACAGAAAGAAAAGTTTCCAAACTTCTCCTTGTGCTCATTTCCCACCACACAGTGGGTGCGGGGAGAGGCTAGGACCAACTTTAGTTATTTCTTTGGAATACATACCAACAAAATCAGCTTATTTCTGATAGAAAACCTGGGGATTGATTATCATGTTCACGCAGTTAATATTTGATCAGTTACCAGTAGTATTGTAGTACTCTACACATCACAGGTATATTTGTTATTTGTTATCCCCTCCTTGAAATCCAGTATGACACACAAATCATACTATCTGGCAGTCTGTAGAACCAGATGCTCATAAAAATATATACAGTGGAGTCTCGCTTATCCAACATAAACGGTCCGGCACAACGTTGAATAAGCAAAAATGTTGGATAATAGGAGGGATTAAGGAAAAGCCTATTAAACATCAAATTACATTATGATTTTACAAATTAAACACCAAAACATCATGTTTTACAACAAATCAACAGAAAAAGCAGTTCAATACACAGTAACGTTATATAGTAATTACTGTATTTACGAATTTAACACCAAAACATCACAATGTATTGAAACAGCTATAGATCCAGGCGGGAGGCAGACTGCGTTGAATAATACAGAATGGTGGATGAGCAAAAATTAGATAAGCGAGACTCTACTGTACATGTCAATATCTGGCTATTTTGTTACAGACTCCCTTTATCTGAACATGCTTAATGCTCACTTTATATACACGCTGATGGCATTGCATACAGCAATCAAATGCTTTGAGTAAATTATTCTTTAGTAAAACTAGTGAAATTTACTATTATACATTGTATCAAATGTTCAACTAAATTAACACATAACATTTCTTAGTTTCATGCATTTCTAAAAAATCTTACAGAACTACTTTTTGCACAATATTCAAATTAATTAATTAAAATGGGTATCTAATGGGACACAAAGCATAAGAAAAGTAACAGAAATCCAGAGAAGCAGAACTTTGTTATTTGATTATTAATTTTTTATGCTTTATTAAGAAAACAACAAGATGATTTAAGGAGGATTCTTAGCTCTCTTAACAAGTCCCTCTGAATAACCTTTGGTTCACCATAAAGAAAAAGTCAAATTTAATATGTAGAGTAACAGCTCAGCATTAATGTTCCTGACTAATGCCTCCTTCTTCTATAGTATGTATTATCCATTTAAAGTGTTAGTGGGATTAGGTGACCTAGGTTCAAGTATTTTCTTGAACCCATACTAGGTGGTCTTGGGTCAGGGACACATTATCAAATCTGACTCACAACCTTGAGCTCATTGGGGAAAAGGTGGGATAGAAGAGTAACAAATAATAACAATAAATAGTAAAACAGATTTTTGAAAAATCTATCAGAAATCATTGTTGCATGCAGGTTAACACATTACAATCTGCGGGTAGGAGGGATGGTGCAGTATACACAAGTAAAGAAGTGTAGGACCAACACTACAAAGCAAGGCAGAACTTGGGGCATCCGAAAGACACAGATTTACTGATGGTCTTATCTTAAGAGAAACCCAGGAATATAAATCCTTCATTTAATTTAATGCTTGACACTGGAAAAGTGGCACAGGAAACCTTTCAGAGACTAATTGGCTCCATAGAGGTTTCAATCCTATACATACTTTATGAGTAAGTCCACTTATGGCTGAAAATAAATTGTGTGGATAGTATAATTACATAGTTTAGTCACTAGGTGACCTTGGACTTGGCTGTCACGAAGATGGAGTAATATTCAAAAGTTTATAATTCTTGTTTTAGATGGACAGTTGAATTCCCCTCTGACTTCCTCTAAGGTTGTGATGACATGTTCTTCGAGACTTCATTTTTGTTCATGGTACGTTCAAAGAGAAAATCTGCTGTGTCATATACAGATTAAATACCCTCCCTGAAGTCACAATTTTGCCTCCGAAGTTGACATTGCAACATGTGGCATCTTAAAAGGAAAATTAAATAAATGTGATAGATTTTCAGTGTCAAAACCATACACGGGAAAGAACTTTCCACCTAGAGCCCTTTCAGAGCATAATTACAGTCAACCCTCCACATTTACTGAGATTAGGGCTGAAGGACTCCTAATAAAGTAGAGGAATGATGAATTAAAATGCTCCCCCCCCCCCGAGAGAATACCTCTTTAGGAATCGCATAGTTCCTCCAGTGCAAAGTAGACCACAGAGACATCGGTTCAATGGTCAAGTCGACCATAGAAGTTCAGCATAGAGCATAAATGGGGTTAAATTCCCATTTTAATCGAACTAAAAAATTAATGAACTCTGCAAAAGCTCATGGGGAGGCCTAACTGTATAGCTCTATATTCTATGTTATCTATCATCATCATCATCATCATCATCATCATCATCATCATCTGCCATGGCGGCATTCTCTGCAATCCTGCAGTTGGCAGTTTGGTGATACCTCTGGCTAAGATTTCTAATACCCTTTCCTAAAGAGGAAACTCCAGGAGTCCACAGGATGCTGCCAAGACAGTTAAAATGCAACCATAGCACTATAAAAGTGCAATAAGGAAGTGCCCTGTCTCCTATATAAAAACCTCCTGTAAAAATCTTGGGGCGAAGCGAGGAGGTGGTTAAGGGTGGGTGAGTACTGCTGTAAAAAAAATCTATGTGGATAACTAGGCTTGGTTTTTAAAATAAACAAGAGTGGAGAAAGAACAATACCTTATACACATTGGTTCTTTAAGACAGGAAAGAAGTAACCTCTGAAGGATCTGGTTTAAATATTTTGCACAAAGCAACTGAAACAGAATGACTGCAGCAGCTATTCTGTTTTCTTTTTCATCCAGAAATTAAAACTTACTCGGTTGAATTAGAGCGTGGCCTAAACCTTTTGCCTTTGACTTTCTTTCTGTTGCCTCCTATATTACCTGGGGGGAAAAAATCAAAGGGTTAAGATAGTGATAAACAATCTTTCAAAATAACAAATAAATGTTTTCACAACTCACTTAAATGCCATTGAGTTCTATAAATTTACTAACTCAGGTCATAAACTGGTCTGGACAAAGTACAATGTGGTGGGTTTACAACCTTCAAATGGTTATGATATTATTTATTTATTTATTTACGGTATTTATATTCCATCCTTCTCACCCCAAAAGGGTCTCAGGGCGGATTACAATGCACACATACACAGCAAACATTCAACACCATTTTTAGACATGCAAGACGGACAAATAGAGGTATTTCGGCAATTTCCAACTTTGGTGCCTGGAAGTTATGCTTGATTTTGGCCATGGGGGGGGGGGGGGCTGTCGCTTAATCCAATATGATGCCAAGCCCTTTTAATCATAGCATTTCCTCCTTGTTATTTGATCACCATCATTTTTATGCTGTTGTAAAATACCTTGCCGCTTTAGGCGATGCCTAATTTCTCTACTCACTGCTCAGCTGTTTTCGAACTTCTTAGGTGGACAGTAAGCTAGGCTTAACAGTCAGGTCCTCAATCCAACTTAGGCTTCGAACTTGCCACCTTCCAGTCGGCAGTTTTTATTGCTGCTGGCGATTAACTAGCAGTGCTACAGCCTGGCCCTACTAACCTTAGATGAGCAGAAACATTTGGCCTTAAAATGACCATTGAAGAAAACATGAGCAGGAGAATTTGCTACAGGACTGCTTATCTTTTGTGCCTCTTTAAAAAATCTGAGTTTACATTTCATAGGATTAAAGGCTGGCTTTTTTATTGTCTATTGTTTATCTGCTTGGGTTCAAGGTCCCATGTAACGTTGGGTGATAATGGAAAGGTTGTTGGGCAACATGCTACTTCAACCTAATTTACTGCTATTATCCATCAAGAGTGTTTTCTATTTTCTAATAAAGGTAGTGAATCAGGAAAGAACACAAACCTTCCTTTGCTATTCTTTGTCAAGTGGATCTTGGTGGTTATATTCATAATGAGATTTTTTTTAGGATAGTGTAAAACACATTTTATAGTTCTAATATGCTTAAATGCAGGGTTCCTAGGAAAAATAAGGAATAGGACTCCTTGTTCCTTTAACATTTAAAGGAATTTCAGCAGGTGACAAAAAACACCTGCTGAAATTTCTTCTTCTCCACAACTGTTATTCCATCTGGCAACCACACTGCAATGTCAAAAAGGAGAGAATGAAATAAAATCTTGAGATTGTGTCTCTATGTTGTTTCTAAAACAAGTCACAAAATCATTAGCCTTCAATGTCAAAGTGTGAAAGTCCTTCTCACCTTGCCACGAGTTACTCCTTGGTCTCCCGTTTTGACAGATGTCTGAAAGATTCTTTGCATCTTGGATTCTTTCACTCCATGAATGAGATAATCCGTTTGACCTAGGAATAATCACCATCAAGATTTGCATGAGATTATTACACTGGTGAGGCTAAATGTCTGGCAATATCAACATTCTCTTATTTTTACACTGGATAATTCAAAAGTCTGTCTACACCTTCAAAATGATTGCTCAAATTGGCAGCCTATGTAAGTTTTTTTCCCCCAGTTAAGTGTTCCTCTTTCTGTCAAGTCCAACAGTTTCTTTACTTAGTATAATGGTGGCAATCACAGGCTTTTAAAATATTGTCTTGATTAGTCTCTGGGAGCATGTATTTAATGTGAGACTAGGAAATCCCATCATAGCTTTCTTTGCCCCAAACCCACAGGCTTTTTTGAGATCAGAAAAGACAATATTGTTTGTTTTTCAGTCCTGGAAACCTTCTGCTCCCTTCTGATTTTGCAAGAGAGGGTGGTATGGCCATTAGCTGGTCCTTAGATGAGAAAAATGGCTAAGAAATTGCTGATCCCTGAAGTACTAGTTACTACAACAAATTTTGTTACTATGTATGTATTGTTGTTATGTTTGGGCATTGAATGTGACTTTCATGTTTGGAATCCGCCCTGAGTCCTTCCGGGGAGATAGGGCAGAACATAAATAAATTATTATTATTATTATTATTATTATTATTATTATTATTATTATTATTATTATTATTTGAAATACAACAAAATTAGTACACAGCAAACAAGATCACTCTGCTGGTTGTTGTATTGGATCACAAATCAGACACTTCCCAAGTGTCTAGGACTGTGTGATGTATCAGCGAATAATGCATGCAGATCCCAGTATGGTGGTCTTTTGCAGCTGACAGATGGTAATTTTGTCACCGCCAACTGTGTTTAAGTGCAGGCCAAGGTCTTTAGGCACTGCACCCAGTGTGCCAATCACCACTGGGACCACCTTGATTGGCTTGTGCCAGAGTCTTTGAAGTTTGATCTTTAAATCCTCATATCATGTCAGCTTTTCCAGTTGTTTCTCTTCAATCCTGCTCTCGCCTGGGATTGCAACATTATTATTATTATTATTATTATTATTATTATTATTATTATTATATTCATCACTTTAATGTAGGGATGGGCAACTATGAAGGATGTGGGGCCAAGTTTCATACACAACATGCCCAACATAATCAGTAATGACATTACTTCACTTCCAATTTCAATGTTGGTTTATTTCTTTTGTTTGCTTTTTTTTCTTTAGACTTGGGGATATCTTTGGGGTAAGGCAAAATCAATGGTTTTTAGTTATTTGGGGAAGCTTGGAGGTAAATAAAATCTCCTAATGTTTGAAGGGTTTGGGTGGGACTTCCAGAGCTTTAGGTGTGCCCATCTAATTCAACTTTTTCATGGACACACCAACCATATGTGTTAGATTACAATTACAAGACTTGGGGAGATGTGTTATGGCCCTTTCCATCCATAGTATGCTACTGAGGAAAGTTGTAACCATTGACATCATGCATTCCATGCTGACTGGAACATTAAGCATGGAACAGATTCTAATCTAGAGCTCTGTAATTAGTTTAGTTTTCATAATTTACCTTGTTTTTTGTAAAAGGCTAGCTAAATGAGTCGGAACATTGAAAGGAATACTAAAATGAGACATTTCTGCATTGTACTCAGAGGTACAAAAATCTGTATTCTGAGTCAGTTCTTGATACTTTTAAAATTAGTTTTGGAGAACCATGTAAGCAAAGGAAGCAGAAAAATTATCTGTCAACAGATCCTGGAAGTGTCACTCTTGGGAACAACGCCTTCTACACTGTCTTGGAAATTCTGGAATATAAAGAAGGTGGGGATAATATTTTTTTCCAAGCTCTGTAAAGGTAAGTTCAACCCTCTTTCATCTTGCAGAAATGCAATCAAAGGTTTCTTGAGGGGAAACTAAAAGAACAAAGATTTACAAGGAACAAGATAATTCTTCTTCTGCCAGACTGAGTTATTCCTACTTTCGCCTCCTGACTTTCTAATTTGATAAAACCAGGATCATTGCCAGCTGAAAATGATGGAAATTGCAGTCCAACATATCTGTTGTTCCTTTTCTATTCTTTTGTTTCCTCTGCACAAGGTCTATGTTGCAAATAATAATAATAATAATAATAATAATAATAACCATCATCATCATCATCTTTGTTTGTACCTTGCCACCATCTCCCCAAAGGGACTTGGGGCAACTCACAGAAGCACTCCAAGTGCCACATGCAGACAGCAATACATATAAATACAATGACATGAGTATAATAAAAGTGCATAAAATCCCATTAATAAAATTATAAAAATTCAAAAATTATAAACTTCCTAAAATGCAGTGGGATCTGCCAGCTGGCTAGCTGTCATAACAATCAATCAAATTGCAGGCCAGTACTATCAATGATTCATCATATTGGCCATGGATTACTCAGGATCAAAAGCCTGTCTGAAGAGCCATGTTTTTAGACTCACCCGGAAGGTCTGAAGAAAGGAGATTAATCTAATTTCCTTAGGGAGGGTATTCCAGAGCCAGGGAGCCACCACCAAGAAGGCCCTCTCTCTCGTCCTCACCAACCGTGTTTGAGACGGTGGTGGGACCGAGCGAAAGGCCTCCCCAGTAGATCTTAATGCCCATGCTGGTTCATAGAAGGAGATGCAGTCTTAAATATAGGTTCGACTCAAAGTGTATAGAGCTTATATCCTATTTAACTCTTTTCCTTTATCATTTGTTTGAATTGTTGTGATCTGAAAGCTTTCTGGGAAGGTAGTTTATCTGAAGTTGAACATCATTATACAAATCCTTTTCAGCCAGTGACAAGAGACTAAGGTTTTGAATATTCTAGTGCAGACAGACCTTTAGATTTTTTTAACATTATATCTCAAAGAACAAACAACTGACTGGAATGAAGAATAAATGGAAACATGAGGGTGGGATAATGGGCAGACACACAGTACTGTAACCATGACATTTTAAGCAATACCCATTTTAAATGCCAAAAAAACAATCTCAGACAAGTAATGATACTCTGTTCCATTGTGCAGATCTAAAACATAGATAAAACAGAATCTTAAAGTTAGCTATTTGAGAAATTCAGGGGCAAAAGAATCATTTTGAAAATGATTCCCAGAAAAATATAACATTTAAATTCTTTGCAATTAAAATCTCAGTATAGACCCAAATGTGTTTTTCAAAGAGACAAATAGGAGCGACTTGAGAAACTAAAACATTGCTTATGGTGTGAGAGAACTGGCCATCTGCAAGGATCCAGGGGACACCCGGATGCTTTACCATCCTGTGGGAGGCTTCTCTCCTGTTCCCGCATGAGAAGCTGGAGCTGACTGATGGGAGCTCACCCGCTCCTCAGATTTTGAACCACCAACCTTTTGGACAGCAATCCTGCTGGCACAAGGGTTTAACCCATTGTCCCACCGGGGGCTCCTAATAGACAACTGCCAGAAACCCATACACATATTTTCAGACACTGTTAATCAGTGTGTTGATCGCTAGCATTAGAGTTTATACCACCATTATACTAACATGTATAACTCGAAAGGGTCAAACTTATCTACTTGTCCTTTTCAGCTTCTAATCTGAAGAATTAATTATATGATTGGTCCAAAGAAAACATGATAAATTGGGCAACTGTCCATTATTAGCAATATAATATGATCATTATTGTGAAGCTTTCTTTAAATGCTGGCAAAAATTCAAATATTAACTTCTCTTTTCTAGGAAAAGAAGAGTGTTGTAGAAGGCACATACATTAAAAAAACCAATGAGCTAACAGGTATTAAATGTATCAGGAACAAAATAGGCAAGGTTTCTAGGATCTGATCTACAATCCCACTCTGAGTGGCTGGTTATAACAGAACTGTTTGAACACACAGAGGAAGCCACATCTGAGCGGTACTTTCTCATCTATACGAACTTTTCCATTGCAATCATGGTCGAAATGCATGAGAAGTCACTGATAGAAAGTAGCTTCCTAGCTTGTACATCATTTGGGGTGTGTAGGTATGTGTTTATGTTAAAACTAGGCACTCACAAGGTCATATAAATAAGTCTTCACTGATCATTAAGGAGGAAGAGAGAAATGCAAGCTAAAGGTGCCATATAACACTATTAAGCAGTCACAAACACAGAAGCAGAGCCAACAAATGCCAAGACACAACATTAACTTGTAATATATCTATTAATCTATTAACTGTTAATGAAAATACAACATCCTCCTTCTTTGATTACACAATAAGTATAGAAAAATAGTGGCAAGGTAGATTTTTCATTTCCTGAAGTGTTTCCACACACTCTGGGACTTAGAAGTTCATCTAGTCCAATAGAGAAAGATCTCCACTGCAAGATGCAACTACAGGACTTCAACAATCCAGGTGTTCTGCTTAAATGGCTACACTTTGAATACTGGGTTGTGAAATCATGTCAATTATCAAACTAAGATACTTTCAGACCAAAGTATATAGAATCATAGAATCAAAGAATCAAAGAGTTGGAAGAGACCTCATGGGCCACCCAGTCCAACCCCTTGCCAAGAAGCAGGAATATTGCATTCAAATCACCCCTGACAGATGGCCATCCAGCCTCTGTTTAAAAGCTTCCAAAGAAGGAGCCATTGAAAAAGTTCAATGTTTCGATTACAGCACCTAGAATCTCCTAGGGCAGGAGTTCCCAAACTGTGTTCAGCGGACCCCTAGGGTTCCACAAAAAATCTTTAAAATCAAATTTAAAATGTTTGTAAAGGTTCAAGGTAAAGATTTCCTCTTGCCATTAAGTCTAACCATATCCAGCATGATTGCATGGAGTTCTGTTACCTTCCCACTGAAGCGGTACCTATTAATCTACTCACATTCTGCTAGGTTGGCAGAAGCTGGGGCTAACAGCAGCAGCTCACCCTGCTCCCCGGATTTGAACTGCCAACCTTTCAATAAGCAAGTTCAGCAGCTCAATGGTTTAACCTGCTGCGCCAACAGGTTTGTAGTGGTATTTAAAATCGTTTATCTTTGTTTCCAAACCTGCTGCATTATACAAAACACGCAGGCAATAGAAATAGATGGAAAAAGGGAGAACTTTGGAAGTTCAAAATACTTGGTAAAATCAGGGATAGAATGTAGTGATCCATGCCTTCCAAAAGGTTCTGTGACTGAAAAAAGTTTGGGAATTGCTGTCCTAATGAATCTAAGAATTGCATAATGTAATTTTTCTGAGCTCTGGAGATGAATTACAGAACAGTGTCCATCTCTTAATTCACGAATTAGATAATTACGTTATTTGATACCACCAGATTTTGTGATACTCAAGAAGGAAATTAATCAGCAGGGTTAAATAGAATGATAGAATTTGAGAGCAGGAAGGGAGCTGAGAGGTCACTTCATCCATCCCATAGGACAGAATACAACCGACAAATAATCAAAGATGGGAGGAAGTCATGTTTTCACACAATTGACAAAATGAAGGAAGAAAGGAAGTAATCAAACCTGCTGCAAAACAATGAAAGGTTCTGACTAATGGAATAATGTGTGATGGAACAGGTAGAAATCTGAAAATGCGACAGAAAAGCAGACCTCTTCTTAGAACTAGATGCAGAATTTGTGCTGACTCCAGGACCCATGCCGCTATACAAGGAGTCGGCCTCAGCAGGCTTTTTAACATAATCTCCCTGAGGAATTTGTCTAAAGCATAATGAACATTTTCAAGTCAGAAATAATTCTTAAAAATGCATGTACTACATGAGTCTACTCAGTCAAATATCAATAGAGTTCTAAAATACAGGAAAAGGGAGTCAAGAGAGGATAATGCAATATTTTCTCACATAATGATGCAAACAAAAATATCAGGCTACACAACACTGAAGAAAATAGAATCTCTGAAACATTTAAATATATACTTTAAATATATCGCTATACAAATTTTGCTTAACCTGCCTTAAATAAAAACCATATTTAGGCCCCTTCCACACAGCTGAATAAAATCACACATTTTTGGCTTTGAACTGGAATATATGGCAGTGTGGACTCAGACAACTCAGTTCAAAACAGATATTGTGGGATTTTCTGCCTTGATATTCTGAGTTATATGGCTGTGTGGAAGGGCCCTAAGATACCCATATTTTCTCGAGTCTAATGCGCCATCGAATCTAATGTGCACCTCAATTTTCAAAACCCTGAAACCCAAAAAAGTATTTACCATATTGCATGAATCTAATGTGCACCCTAATTTTGGGGATTCATTTTTTTAAAGCATTAGAATTGAGTAAATACAGTATTTTAAGTCATTCAGTCACAAGAGTAGAACTCAGTTAAATACTAGACTATAGGTTTAAACCAAAACTTTTGCAAAATGTTCCTTTCCTACCAGTTGAAAGAAAAATTGTGTAATTAATAAACAATAATGGGAGGAAACCCAATCATGCCCAAGTGTGGCCTGTGCAGTAGTCATGGTAGCTGATAAACTCTAGGTCAGAGATGAGGGCCAAAAAGTGACTTTTTCAAGTTCTGAACCTACGCAAAAAGCGATTTTCCTGCAGCTAATCACAGCTTTGTTTCCAGCAATTAAGCCAGCCAAATAATGACTTGCTCCCCTTTTCCTTTCCTTTTATTTCCTTCCATTTGGTGAAATGAATCTTTCTTCACCCTTAATATATAACATCAAAATGTAAACATTTTAAAAAGCATATTCACAGAAGATTTTGTAATGGAAACTACTGAAGCCCATATAATTTGCAAGTGCTTCAAAATGCCATACTATACTTAGTTCAGAGGTTAAGTTACAACTGTTACCACTAAGGAATTGTAATATAGTGATACTAATATATTAAATATAATTACTACTGATAATGTACAATAATATACAATGATATAATGTTTCAGTATTGTATGTTTGTATATTTTAAATTGTAATGTTTTCAACTATAAGCCGCTTTGAGTCTCTGTATGGAGAAATAAAGCGGTTTAAAAATAAATAAATACATAAATAAATAAGGAGGTCAAAATATAGTAGGAAATATAATATAAGTACTTTCCCCATATGGTAAATGGGATTTCAAACCTTAAGACTACAGGCAGTCTCCAAGTTACGAATATGATAGGTTCTGTAGGTCTGTTCTAAAGTTGATTTTGTTTGTAAGTTGTTAACAGACATATTTTGAAATGTAACTTCAGCCAAACACACACACAAATAACTTTGGATAGCAGCGGGAAAGGTTAACACCCCTGTGGTGTTTGTTTCACTGTTTGTTCCCCTGTTCAGAAGATTTCACCTCACTTTCCGTCCCTCTGTTTTTGAAAATTTTGGCTTGTTGTGAAAACAAGGATTGGTGAGAAAGCTTCAGTGGGGACACCTTTTCCCCGTGATCACTCTTCCAGGAGTGAATGTCCCTTCCTAGGGGTAGATTATTCTCACTTCTTGTTATTTCACTCTTGTTCTTAACTATGAGTCATTTTAAATCAGATGTTTGTAACTTGGGGACTGCCTGTACATTAATAGTATAAGCAGAAGAATCATTACTGTTGGATTGAACAAGAGACCTCAGCTCTATGTACACAAAGAATTTTCAACCTATATGACTAGAGAAATTGGTTATATTCTGATTCATAGGATTTTTATACCCTGGTAAATAACAAATAGAGAACGCTATTTCAAAAATTCTGAGCCAACACAGTCACGCTGCTTTTTCACATACCTCTGTCTTCGATAGTTTCTTACAAGAAAAAGGAAGAGAGATAAAGAGCAAGTTACCACTTCTGTATTTCAGTGCATTCAGCATCACAAACAAAGGACTGGGTCCTATAAACTATAAGAAGATTTCCACTTCCAAAATGATGCATTGCTGCATCCTCCATCCTTAAGCCCCACTTGAAGAAGTGCATTATTACTATTTTCCTCCATTCGCTATATGTACATTAGTCCTTTTGAATTGTTATTTTATTTGAAGTAAAATAATAAAAATAAGATGAAAATGATATAAATTATGTTATCTTCAGTGTTTGGCACACTCAGCAAGATGTATCTGATTCCTTTTTGGGAGACATACTTTCAGATTGTGTAGGACCACTGACATACTTGAAAAGCATTTGGATTTTTTCCACCAACAGAGTTCTTTAGACAGACAAACCTATATAGAGGAGTGTAACAAATCTTACAAATGTTTAAAAACAGAAAGTATTGAGTCAAGTATACTAGGAACTACATTAACTGGATTTCATAGCAACTAGATACTAGAATAAAGCGTATGAGCTAAGCAAGTCTAACTAGGCAACTATTTGCAGAGAAAACTGGAAGCATGTTGAAAGGGGTTAAAAAGTTAATAATTATACTTACTGCTCCTTCATTACGCCTTTTTGATCAGTGAATCTAGGTAAAATATTTTTTTTGCCCAAACTGTTCAATATCCCATACTGCCAGCAGCTAAAAGTATTCCATACTTCGAGTGTTTTAAATATAAATTACTTACTTGTAACCCCATGCAGTTATGCCCAGAATCAGCGCCAACACTAAAATGGTACCAGCAATAGCTCCTATAATGATATTTGTGCTAGTGACACCTAGATGAAAACAAACAAACAAAAGAATAATCTGATGTGTTATCGAAGGCTTTCATGGCTGGAATCACTGGGTTGCTGTGAGTTTTCTGGGCTGTATGGCCATGTTCCAGAAGCATTATTTCCTGGCGTTTCGCCCACATCTATGGCAGGCATCCTCAGAGGTTGTGAGATCTGGAGAAAACTAAACAAGTGAGGTTTATATACCTGTGGAATGTCCAGGGTGGGAGAAAGAACTCTTGTCTGTTTGAGGCAAGTGTGGATGTTGCAATTGGCCAGCTTGATTAGCATTGAATAGCCTGCAGAACACAGAAATCTTGGACCACTCCAACAACCTCTATGCCAGACTACACAGTGAAGCCATTGAAATCCACAACCATGTGGGCAATTTTAACAGAAAGGAGGAAATGATGAAAATGAACAAAATCTGGCTACCGGTATTTTAAAAAACTCTACAATCAGGACAGTAAATAAAAAGCAAGACTCAAAAAACAGGGGAATTCCAGACCGGAAACAATCAGGGCCAGCTAACACCTCCCAACAAAGGATTCCCTGGAGCTGAAAAGCAATTCAATTATAATCAAGCTGGCCAACTGCAACATTCACACTTGCCTCCAACAGACAAGAGTCCTTTCTCCCACCCTGGACATTCCACAGATATATAAACCCCACTTGCTTAGTTTCCAAGAGACGTCACAACCTCCGATGATGCCTGCCATAGATGTAAGTGAAATATAGATGTGGTCATACAGCCCACAAAACTCACAGCAACCCAGAATAATCTGAATTTGATTGATTGGAAAAGGACATAAAATTACAGCACTTCCTGTTTTCTAAATCTGTATTGTCAGAGATGAAAACTTTGAAATAGACTTTTGGGAGCAATAACTGCACAAGATTCAAATCAAAAAGGAACCATATGACTTAAACATATTTAGTAGGCTTAATAACTCTTGTAAAATTTTAACTGAAACCAAGAATGGGATTCATAACCCAACTGACATCAAAATCACCAGCAGTCAAGAAGGGATTGTTTTTTTAAAAAATAAATAGCAGGTGCTTGTTGTGTGTATTATCTAGACTAGCGCATCAGAGGAAATACATTTATAACTTTTTGCTCCTATTATTATTATTATTATTATTATTATCATTATCATTATTTACGTACAGACCACCCTATCCCCGAAGGGATTCAGGGCAGTTTCCAGCATATATGGCAAATACTCAATGTCAAAAAGGAAAAACGTACAAACAAATTACATCAAAACAGATCACATCAAGCAATATATAAATGGCCTGACTTTAAACTTAATAACAGACAAAAATAGCTAAAGTCAAAAATTTAAATGACCCATACAAACATAAATGCATAGTATAAATTTATAACTGGGTAAAACATTTTAAAACTAATAACTAAAACCTGATCAAGATATGAGGTGATTTGTAGCAACCAACAGGCTGAAATCAATTCCGGCATCTAGACAAGATGCCGTGGACCCTTCCACATAACCCTATATCCCAGAATATCAAGGTGGAAAATCCCACAATATCTGCTTTGAACTGGGTTATCTGAGTCCATACTCAGATAATGTGGGATTTTCTGTCATGATATTCTGGGATATAGGGCTGTGTGAAAGGGCCCTAGTTGAGGATGTAAATCAAGACATGTTAGTTTTCCTCCTCTCCATACACCAGAGTGCATAGATGGGGTTTTAGCAACTTTTTGAAGGTGAGGGGAGAAAGGGGCTGCTTTTAATTCTTTTGGGATGGAGTTCCAGAGGTGGAGAGCAATCATGGAGAAGGCCCCTCTCTCGTTCCCACCAGCCGTGACTGAGATGGTGGTGGGATCGAGAGCAGGGCATCCTCCACAGATCGTAATGCCTATCACAATTCTAATCTGTCACCTTTCCTTTAGCAGATTCAGAGTTTTAAAAAAACAAAATATCTGTTCTGGACTCCAATTTTGCTTATTTAATTTTTAAGGGTTACTACAGAACATTTGACTTACTTGAAGAATCCAGATCTGTTCTACCAATTGGTCCTCCAACATGTTTATTGCAGTCTTCACCTGACCAGAATGAGTCGCAGATACATTGTATTTCATTACTGCAAACCTGTTAAATTGGAGGCAGTGTTAAGAAAAAGTAAACAAACTGGTAGCAAAATCCCAACACCCAATGCATCGTTCATATATATGCATAAAGATATGCATGTATGCATATGCATACACATATGTGTATGCATATATCACACTATAGTTTAACACTCTACTTTATGTGATTTTTGTCTTTTCATGATCGGTTTGCATTGCTCCTTTCTTGTGTGTGTGTGGGAAAGGATCATGCTTTGTGTGACCGTACAGCATCACACAAGATAGAGAAAAGAATGGAATGGCATAAAATAGTTGGCTGTCCTCTGAAATTAAATCCTGCTAATTTATGAGTTCCTGTAAAGCAGCCTTGGCCAACTTGGTGACCTTCAGATGTGTTGGACTACAATCCCTATCATCCTAACCAAACAGGATGCATTTACATTAAGGAACAGTCAGAAAGAAGTTCAACTGGCAAACATAGAATCCCAGAGGTGTGGCATTACAAAGAGTATAAACAAAAAAGTACTCGTCTAACCTGAAAGTAGATCTTGAGACACAACTTGAAACAGTGTTCTCAAGAATATATTTCCTTATCCTTTCCTTTCAAAATGAACACTTAGTACATCTAAAGAAATGCTAGTCATATCCATTGATCATATAAAAAAGTGTTGCTGTAACACTTGCTTTCTTCTCCTTTCAGCGTTCATTCTTCCTTTAATACAGATTGACAGTTTCTGAGCAGGAATTGGAACATTTTAGGTAATTTGGAAGCAAATCACCACTACTACTATAATTTCCCAGAAGCTCTATGTATAACTGGGTGATCCAGATTAAAGTTACACAATCACCTCAATTCCTTTAAAACAGAATATTCATGTTGTTGGAAAGCTGCATTATACACATTTATTACACTGTTTTATAGAAAACATTGATCTCAGTATTGTCTGCTCTGACTGGCAGCAGGTCTCAAGGACAGAGATCTTTTTATGATTTACCACAAAAATAGTAGATTGAACATGTAGACTTTCTACATGAAAAGTTATGGGACTTTTTGGGCCAAAGCAAATTATTCAATTCTTCTTTTTTATAAGTCTTTTTGGAAAAAAATCATACATACATACTTATACACACACACACACTGTGTTTGTGCATGGATGTGTGTATACACAAAATCAAGCATATATATCAAAGCTTAGAAAAGTTATTTTTTGCATCCCACCTTACAGAATCTTCCAACTAATCTAGCCCTCATGTTCACTGGGGATTCTGGGAGCTCTAATCCAAAAGATAGCACTTCCAAATAACAGATATCATGTGTGTCCATGTATTTCTAGCCTACATTTAAACATTAAAATAATGATAACAATATTGTGTCATCACATCCTTGCCTTCCAATACAAAGAACAAACAAACATACTCCATGTCCTGAACAAATGTTGCCTCCTGTACTTCCTGGGCAGGAACTGAAGTTAAAAGAATCCACAGAAAGACATCTGTGTTCCCAGCATATCATTCCATGGCCACAAGGTGTCCCATCTTCTACGTAGCCAAGATCTGCATCTTCTTCTAGCTTAACATGAGCACCACTGCATTAAGGAAGGAAAGACTTTGAAGCTAATCGCTAAGAAAATACATGATGGAAAAGTAACATATTAGTTTTTAACCCTATTTATCCTATCTAATTATCTTCACAGCTACAAGCATGGCTAACTAGGATTTGATACTTCATCAATAGTAGTAGTAGTAGTAGTAACAACAACAACAACAACAACAACAATGATAATAGTTTGTCTCTCATAGCTCTTGCTTGAAGGCCACAAAGACTGCCTACTGACTTATAGCAATTCTAAGAATTTCATTGAGTTGACCGTGCTTAGCTTTTGAGATCAGATGGAATGTGGTGACTTTCGAGTATTTATGTCCATGAAGCCGAGACTCTTGGAATTTGGTATGCATAGTCAGGGTGCCAAGGACTGTGCTCCTGTAGACTATTTTAGTTTTCTAAATCATTACTTAATTTTGTTAATTTTGATGTACTGTTAGAATTTGATGATTCCACCTTTGCTTACTAGATGACAAACTTCCTTAAACAGGGTATAGCATTAATAAATTACTACAGATGGTAGTTGGGGAGAATAATCTGAAGGATATAATGTTAGTAGACTGCACCTCTATATGGTTTGATGAGAGCAGCATGCATCTCAATGGAGTTCTTGAGGCGAGAGCTTCACTCAAACGAAGCTAAAGTTGGGTGTAACTCCATTAGGTTCATCAGAATACAATTATGTTTTTTGTAATTATACGATACGATACGATATTCATGACATAGCAGTCATGTACTTTTTCAACGTTTCATTTTGTTTTGTTCCTGACTGTTACCTTTTGCATTGTTTTAGCTATGTCTGATTCTGACAGCTACACTATTTTGCTTGCAAACTTTGGTGTATTATGCTAAGAGTTATTCTAACACAAGAACATTTACTTACTGCTATCAAAACACAACAGAGCACATTCTCAACAAGGGTAGCTTGTGGATGAATGGCATTTTCTGTGCTGCAGTCCACTGATTCATTAAAATTTAGTTTCCTTTGAGTCTGTCTTTACCAAATTGTGCCTTCCTTGTTTAACGACCTCATCATATGCCCCTTGGTAAAGCAGGGGGAAAGTGGGAGAAATTGTAGGGCAGCATAGGAACTGTCACGCTGTGTTCCCAAGCATCAGGGTCTATGGTATCCCTTTCCACAACATTTCCCCGCTGTCCCCTGCTTCCTCTTCAGCTCTTTTCTGCTTTTTCCATGAGGAGTCAGGTGTATACCCAACTACTTTGGGCTCCATTTTTCTCTGCGGCCAAAACACTGCCCGAACAGAACCTCACAAAGTCCTGCTAGAAGTAGCCCTGTGTCATGTGATGGGCTCCAGGGGACTCCATACCACCAGCACAGAGAAGTGGGGAGAAGACACTTATTTGACTTTATCTGAGGAGATCATAAGTGTTGAAAGATTACCTGCAAACATAGGACTTGTCTAAATTTTGAAGAGATGTTGATGTGATGTCACCGTCAAGCTCTCCCAGTCTTGGGATGTTTGAGTCGATATTGGAGCACAGAAGATATCCACAAAGAACATCTCTGGAAGGAAGGTTTAAACAAGTAATTAAATACTTTAAACAAGTTATTTTTTTAAGGGAAGGAACGGTTACATTATCCCCACTGTTCAAAAAGCATTATTTCCCTAAATAGGAAAATACATAAATGGGGGAACTGAAGAGAAGATGGAAGAGGAGAGTGTAGCCTTATTTCAAGCTTCATCAATTCTCTATATGGGATCAATCAATTTGAGTTTGGTAGAGGATGATAGGAAGGACATTTTTAGCTCCTCTTCTGACAAGAAGGAAGAGGTGAGCCCAAGTTCCTAATGAACATTATTGTGCATACTCCTTCCAAAGAAGCTGGGATGACACTTTAGGATAGACATAAAGGATAGGCAAAGTACTGTGTAAATCCAACTTCTACTATGAAGCAGAGAAATGTTGTTTTTTAATGCCTAAATACTTAATGGGAGTTTCTGGGAGTTGTAATCAACTTGATGAGAAAAGCCATCTGATGGCAACAACATGGGGAAATATTTGTCATCTTGACTACTGTAAACACTCATGGAAGTTACAAGGAGCTCAAAGAGGGTGGCCTGGTTATTGCTGTAAACATACATGTACATTTGGGAATGCATTGTGACTATTTGCAAATATTATCATTTTGGGGAACCACTGGCCTAAAAATAGAAAAGGGTCTTGCATAAACAGATTGGCTTGACTTACTCATTCTTGCACTGTATCCAAGTATCTCTCTCTCTGCCACAGTTACCTTTCTCAGTGCCCTCTATATTCAGCCTCTCATAGCAGTATTTGTCAGCAGCATTCGCTTCTAAAAAAAAGAATTGTGTGTATGTGTGGTTTAGAAGACAGGCAGACACGCATGCAAAGACTCAAACTATATGTTTTTAAAAGGCATTACACTCTTCAGCAACTTAGAAATAAAATTTCAGAACTTCACATTTTTTTAAAAGAGCACATTCACTGAAAGTTCCCAGCCCAGGCATATGTGAGACAAAACAAGGATGAAAGGAAGGGAAACTAGAATGTGCAAAATAAATGTATAATTTCTAAAAGTCTTTTCCTTCATAAAGTGGATAATCTCATAGCATTCTTGTATGGAGTGTTTTTATTTTTTATGTTGCTTTGCTTGCAAATTATACCAAATTTCAAAGGGAAAGGCTGGCAGGAAAAGGGTGAGCAGATATTCTTTCTGACTGCGTCATATAGAAACTGATGAGCATAATTGATTACAGCAAGACATTCCAATCAAGTAGGGCACTCCATTAATTCCATTCTTTTCTATTTTACTTTTCCAGTTATCACTCCACTTTCTCTAAATAATGAGCAATATAGGTCAGGAGGGTAATTTCCCTCTTCCCATATAAACAACATATTTTTTTTCTAACTGCAGGGTTCATTCCAATGGTCTGAGATTTCCCCCATGCTTCTGTGCCCCTGTTTCAAATTTGGTTGTGATAGCACTTTTAGATTACTATTGGAAGAATTGGTGGTGTGATGCGCGCCCACTGCAGGTCACTATTGTATATAATCTTCTGATATATTATCAGAATGGGCTCTTCAAAACAGTGGTTCAGTATGTGTGGTGGAGGCTCCTTCTTTGGAGGCTTTCAAGCATAGGCTGGATGGCCATCTGTCAGGCGTGCTCTGAATGCGATTTTCCTGCTTCTTGGCAGGAGGTTGGACTGGATGGCCCACAAGGTCTCTTTCAACTCTATGATTCTATATTTCTATGTGTTATGTCCATGAAGCAGGATGCTTGAAAGGCTGCCATGTCCATATGTATGTCTTTACCAAAAATATTCTGCAGATATCTCCATTGTTTCGAACATGTGGCTACTAGGGGAAAGGCCTCTTCAGTGTTGTTCCTTGAATACCAGACTTTTAGCAATATTGTCTATACAGTAAGATCCCTGTATCTGTGAAGGATACACGTGTGGATGCAACAACAATTCTTTATTGATTAGTCAATTTTGACCATATCCAAACATGCAAAACATACAAAACATACACACTTGCCCATACATACAGTAAAACCATATATGAATATGAAAACTGTGGATAATCGCAAACCCTATTGAAATGGACTTACACTTCAGAAATACCTTAGAATAACACTATAAAATGCCTAGGAAGGAAGTGTTTTGTTGGACATGGATAAATGAAATTATGTACACTGGGCCTGTGGATACAGGGATCATACTGTATCATTTATTTATATGTGGAGGGTTTTTTTGTTTTTGTTTCTTTTGTAAACCTGCTCTGACTCTTGTCCCCAGCTTCTGCATCTCCAAAACAAACATTTTTGAGCAAAAATTGCCGCTAAAGGCAATTTCTAATCCAAAGACTTAGCTAGTGCTCCTGGAGTTGTCCAAGACTGATAGCTTATCTTACAACTTACTAACCTTTCTCAACCCTGTTAAAAACCTCCAGTATCCAAACCAGGAGCCCCCTGTGGCACAGTGAGTTAAACCCTTGTGCCGGCATGACTGAAGACGAACAGGTCAGAGGTTCTAATCTGGGAAGAGCGCAGATGAGCTCCCTCTGTCAGCTCCAGCTCCCCATGTGGGGACATGATAGAAGCCTCCCACAAGGATGGTAAAACATCAAACATCCGGGCATCCCCTGGGCAACATCATTGCAGATGGCCAATTCTCTCACACCAGAAGTTACTTGCAATTTCTCAAGTCGCTCCTGACACAGAAAAAAAATCTCAACCAGAGCTAACTTCCTGTCGTTTACATTTTTCAGCCAGATTTTCAGCCATTTTGGGGTGCTAAAAACATCCCAAATGCCATATGCCCCCAACAGAGATTACTGCAATGAGTCTATAATTAGTTTTATGCTATCTAGAAAAGCACAAAAGACATGTTACTCACTTTCTCCCCAAATATATTTACACTGTCTGTCTCTTGTTTTGCATCGTCCTCCAAAACAAATGCCCTAAGGAGAAATTTTAAAAGGAAATAAAACAATAAGTCTTTCTCATTTTGATGAAAGAGTTTTTACAAATAACCATTATTGTTGTGGTTATTATCATCATTATCATTCAATGCTCTTTTTTTCTAGTGAAAAGAGGTCAAAGCAATGTAATGTATCATTTCTACTCTGAAGTACGTTCCAGCGACTTCATCCAAGTTCTTTCACAGATATCTACACAGAAACTAGCTTTGATCTCCCTGGGTTTAGGATAGAGGGCATCTTATGAGCTATAATGAAAAGCAAATCAAATGAAACATTGTACTCACTTGCTCATTATCACATGAATACCCATCCATTTTGTGCAGATTTGGAGAACACTGAAGATAAAACAGAAGGAACCGCGTGATACACTAGACAGCGAGAGACCGTTTTTAAAACCATCATTACGGCATCTATCGTGATTGAAATCACAGCTTTTCAAACTTGGCTTTTGATTGGAGATTGCCTCTTTTTCCCAACATTGTTTTATGCAATATTGTATTACAAGTTGTTGAGATTTTGCCATTCTCTATCTGGTTTTGAAACTTTACCTGATCAGACTCTCCTGTGCAACTCTCTGGAATATCACAGCCATTTACAGCTTCTCTGCAAATCACTCCTTTGGCCTCAAACTGAAAAAGAAACACAAACATCTGAGCATATCCAAACATCGCAAACAGTGGATTCCCCCCTATGGTTCTTGCATCCAAAAGCCATTCCAAAAGACTCTCTCATAAATCCAAGCACTTCCTCTGCAAATTCCCAGGAGCTGTGAAATGTTGCTTTTACTCACAGATCACTTGACCCAACTGATTGACAAGCTATATAAGTGAGGCCCCATCTACACTGCCACTATAATGCAGACTTAATTGCATTATATGCTAAATGTTGACTCGTATAATGTGGTTTAACTGCATTGAACTGGAGTTCAATCTGCATTATAATGGCAGTCTAGATGGGGCCTGAATCCAGATCAGCTTTGCTATGGCAGAATTCAGTGCTTTTAGTACCCAAACAAACCTTCTATAGTGCTTTATTTATTTATTTATTTATTTATTTATTTATTTATTTATAGTATTTATATTCTATAAATAGAAAGAAAATGATGTTAAAAGACATTATGGCTCTTGTTCATACCCCAATAGATGAGCTCCATTTCCTCCCAAGGATTATAATGATTCACATAAAACAATAGCGGTATGTCTTTTTACCACCATGCTACCTTTCTGCTTACACCAGAGATTCTCAACCTGTGGGTCTCCAGGTGTTTTGGCCTACAATTCCCAGAAATCCCAGATAGTTTACCAGCTGTCAGGACTTCTGGGAGTTGAAGGCCAAAACATCTAGGGACCCACAGGTTGAGAACCACTGGCTTACACCATGTTTCAAAAATGTTGACTTGCCAATACATTCTATTCATTTCAGTGAAAATTTCTTTGAAGTAACTATGTTAAAAAGTGCAATAGACTGTGAACTTCATCGTCAACAGACAGGAAAAATAGACAGGTATTTTTAAGCCTTGAAAGTAGAGCTTGCTAATCAAAAAGTACCTGTCTACAACTAAGATTAAGCCAAAGTTTAGTGTTATAATGAAAAGACAGGGATTTTCAGATTTATGATTTCGTGTTTGGTCTTTTCTCCTCCTCTGATCAAGCCGAGTAGAAAGTATAAATATACATTTAAGATTAACGGCAATTTAGAGGGTCATCAGACCCTCAACCATAGGTAATCCTGTCATTAATTAAAATAAGACAACTTCATAAATCACTGTTTGATGCTAGCTTGTATCTATCAGAATTAGCCAGATTTTTTTAAAGTCTTGTTAAGAGAAACAGAAAAACTCCACAGAGATGCAACAGAGAAAGTGAAGGGGGGGATGTGTTAAGTTCAAACCACACCTGGACCATCTACATGACTGATAATCTCTCTCTTTTTAAAACAACCCTGTATATTCCTTTTTAAGCCATATAAGTACATACCTGACATTTTGTACAGCAAAGTCCATTGCTGCACTGAGAGTTAGCAGTTAAGGTGCAAGAATTACAGCACTCGCCACCTTCAACGAGACATTCCTGGGGAGTAGAAGCAACTGTAAAACAGCAGTTTGACAAGCAGACATTTGTAAAATTATCGTCTTCCAACCTATATTATATATCAGACAAATATCAGAGTAAAGGAGGGAGGATGTGATGCAAAGTCCAAGGTAAACCAAGAATATACTGGAATCTAAGAGGTACTTTTGGTAGTGTGGCAGAGGAAAACTTGGGAGATACCAGTTCGATACCCTACTCATGCATGAATTTCCCTTCGTGACCTTAAGCAGGTCCCAATCTGTAATCCTAAAATAATTATGCAAAGTTGTTATACAAATAACTGTTTTTAAATTGTATTGTTTGTGGGTAGATTTTAATATAGATGTTATTGTATTATCAATGTTTACATTTTTATACTTTATGTCTAAATGTTATTTTATGTTTATGTTTTAATTGGCTTAGGTAATTTATAGTTATGTGTTATTGTCTAGCTATTATGTTTTGGTTTTCACATGTATGTACGGCATTGAATTTTGCCTTTATAATGTTGGAATTCACTTTGAGTTCCTTAAGGGGGAGAAAAATGATATATAACTGTAGTTAATAACAACAACAACAATAACAATATCAGAAGGGGGACCATATTCAGTGCCCATGCTCTAGGAGGAATGACTGGGCAAAAAAAGAGGAGAAGTAATAGAAAATAAATATTATTGTCTCAATTGCTGACTGATAAAGTGCATGTGCACTGTGAGAATTAAAGATACAGTGCTACTGGGGCCTTATAGTCACAATCTCCATGTATGACACTGAGTTTGCTCTGCTTGTAGGTTGTTGTACAGTGTTTTGAATATGCAGTAATTAATCCCTGGGATCACTCTTTGGTTTGCAGGGTCAGCCCTACCACCTGGCAGTCGATCCTTGGGAGCAGAGTATGGCAGGACGCTGTTAAAAGTCATAGAATCACAGAGTTGGAAAAGACCATGACAGCTATCCAGTCCAACCCCCTCCCCCTAAACACATGCACACACTGTTCAGTATTATACCATCAAAGCACTCTCTGACAGATAAGCCATCCAGCTTCTGTTAAGAAAACCCTCAGAGAAGAAACCAGAGCTATGCATCATTACAGCCTTCCCTATACCACCCTCCCCAAAGTAGCCTACTGCCCACAAGTGAAATAGAAGCAGGTATAATAGAAATAAGAGGTTAAGAGGTCAGTTTCCAACAGACCTCTCAACCTCTGAGGATGCCTACTAAGTGTGCTTGAAACATCAGGAGAGAATGCTTCTGGAACATGGCCATACAACCCAGAAAACTCACAGCAACCCAGAAATAAGATCCATACTCATATGGTAGTCACTCCTATAGTACTGAACATTATATAACTTACTGCTGCAGAACCACAATCACACTCTTCTCCAGCTTCAACAAAACCATTGCCACATTCTGGAGGATCCAGGAGCTGAATGAATAAACACACATAGATAAATATAACTACAACAAAGTATATATAGTAATAATGCACGGGCAGTATCTAAAAGTGATTCCACTTTGCTTTATTTAAGATAGAGCCTTTCATTGATGAGTAGCCAAACACAAAAAGGTTTATGTTAGTTATATAAAACAGCAGAAAATAAAATTAATTTAAGCCACCAGATGATCAGGTGAAATTTTGGATTAACACGGTACTCTTTTTTGTCCAAACCTTTTTCTTTTGAGATTTGAATTCTCCATTATTATGCTTTCTGTTAGAAATGCCCAAATTAATTCAGAGCAAACATCAAGAACAATCAATAAAACACAAGCAGATTCTACGACGAAACCATGATTGAACATGATGTACCGAACCACTTGTGTCTCCATGTCCCATGTAACCAAAGAGTCCAAAAGCATTTGAATATTTTCTTAGTTAAATCAGTGTAATGTATATATATACGTTTAAAATCTTCATGCTGCTAGCTGTGAACATTATGAAGCATGTGTGGAACAGACAAGGAAGATGTTGCAATAGACCAGGAGGCTGGACACTGAATTAATGAGCTGATAACAGTGAGGTATAAATAGAGCAGACACCATTACTGTTCTCTCTCTTTGCTCTTCTCCCTTGCATCTGACCGCACTAACAAGTAAGTGTTTTTGTAATGAATGAAGTGTAAATAAAGATAAGAACCCCTACTGAAGCAGAAGCAACTGTGTCTGAAGTGCATTAATTGGATGATAAGAAGCAAGTTGGCCAGCAAATTGCACTGATAAGTTAACAACAGTTTGCCTGAATCTTGAATGGTGGTAAAAAATTAACCATGGTCAATATAAACAAACCAACTTCATACATCATGACTTGAAACTGGCTTGCATTAAATCAATCTTATTTAACTTGTGAACTTGACTTCCTCTTCTCATGACACAAGAATTAAGCAAGCCTACAGGCTGATTCTCATTCATGCACATGATACTAAATTATGGCCTGGTTTGATACGTTAAATGCAACCAGTGCAAAACAAAAATCACGAGATAGAAGATGGCAGATAAAATTTAAAGCGGATAAACCAAGAAGATCCTAATCCATGCTGCAATGAGAAGTAAAGCCAAAGTGAAATACATGCTATTTCATTTATCCCAAATGATTAAGCAAGACTACCCAGGGGTTTGTGTGGGAAGAAGACTGTTTATGTACAGTTGACAGCTGTACGTTAACCTACAGGAATCAGTGAATAAAAGGCGATTTGTCATCTCCATCTGTCACCGGGTAGCCTTTTTTAAAAGAAGTATCACATATGCCAAGCTCAGTATAATACGAAAAGAAGCAACAATGTGCGTTGTAGAGATTAACCCTTCACTATGGATTGTAAATGCTGGAAACATATCAATAAACATGTTGCTCCAATGATACCCCATTTCTACAGTTAAAATCCAAATAGTTGGATACATACATTTTTGTGCAAATACATTATTTCTTGTCATATGTACCCATATCATATTTAGGGTAGGAGCCCATGGTGGCGCAATGGGTTAAACCCTTGTGCCGGCAGGACTGAAGACTGACAGGTCGGAAGTTCGAATTTGGGGAAAGTGGATTGAGCTCACTCTGTCATCTCCAGCTCCCTGTGCGGTGACATGATAGAAGCCTCCCACAAGGATGGTAAAACATCAAAACATCTGGGCGTCCCCTGAGCAACATCTTTGCAGGCAGCCAATTCTCTCACCCTAGAAGCGACTTGCAGTTTCTCAAATCACTCCTGACATGAAAAAAAATCTTTTGGGTATTTTTCTACAGATTCCCCACAAATGTTTTCTTGTTGAAAAACATTTGTAAGAGTAGATTTCAAAAGGAGGCCCACAGAAAGCTCCAGTTTTGTTTCAGATTTCTTGTGCAAGTGATCCTCAAACACACTGAACTCCTTTCCATCCTCAGCCAAGTCAAAAGCTGCCTTCCTAAATATGCACCTCTGGAGAAACAAAGATTTATGAAACAGAAGGGACCTTCCTTTTGAGTAAGCAAATATGGGGTTATGTTGTAAGATGCTCTGCAAGGAAACCATAACATTTCCATTGCTTTCTTTATGGCATTCAGGTTTAAGACCACACACACAACCTCAAAAAAGCCAAACAAAAAGGCTCATGTGCAACTTGAGCGAGACAAGAGAAGTAGGGTTATTTCACTGCCACTGCTGAAACTACCTTCCTTTGACACCCCTTTCCACTTTTATTTAAGTTCTAGCACTATACCAGACTGCTTGAAGCATACCTTGTTTCTTTTTAACTACTTTCTCCACATTTCTTATTTCTAGTGTGTTGGGGAGGTATGGAACATCGCCTTAAATGATCAACTATCAATGGAAATGAGGATGTTCAGAGGGAAATTAAAGGATTGGAATTCGATTCATATTGGTTGGATTTCATCAAATATATTTTAGAGAGTGATAAGGGAAAACAATACAACCTTGTTGGCCAGGAATTTTGGATATGACATTTGTTTACTGGTTGCCTCATAAATTTTTAAAGGAAATGATACTTGTTCAAGCCTTGGTAGTGGGGTTATGTGTTTGTAAAATGTTCATTGTTTTGTGTTCTTTTTGCACTGTAAGCTGTTAATGTATGTAAATAACAAATTATATATTTGAAAATAGTGTGTTGTATTCCAAATTTAAATTGTGATGGTGACGGAACTGTCATGCCACTTTATAAGCCACTTCAGTTGCCTTTTTGCATAGAGTATGGTCTACATTAAAGCTTTCCAAACACACTTTTTAGACATGCATCATTTCTCAACATGGTAATTCGGTTTTATAGCAAACTGGAGGTTAAACCAGCCCGTTATATGAGATACAGGCGCAGACATAAGTTGTAATAATGAAATATTAGAGACACTATCTCTTGAAAACCTTTCATTTATGATTTTATATATATATTATTTTTTGCTTATTTCGCATAAATCCAGAAGTTTCTAGTTACCGTACATTCCCGTGACACACCTACACACTACAGCCAACACACTAATGTGCCATAACACAGAGTTTGGAAAGCTCTGGTCTACATGAATACACAAATGTCATATGTCATTTTCCTGTGAAATCAAATGCATCAGTCCCAAACTATAAGGAGACGTTTTTTATCAGACCCTGGGATATAAGGCAGTGTAGATACAGCCTAAGTGTTACCACATCAGCTTCAGTTTCTTCACTAGAAAGCATTTCAATAAAATGTTTCTGGCACTAAACTAAGAACTGAACAGAATAGAAAATGTTATCTTCATTACCTTGGAGGGCTTATTGAAAAGGCATGCTCCGCCTCCATTATTTAAGAATTCATGATATGCCTCAATGTCACATTTGGAGAATTTAGTTGGAATGTAGTAGCTGCAAAGGTGAAGAAAACAAGTTATTTCACATTTCTCATTTTGGATTCATAAAAAAATTGACAGGCTTCAACTGGACTGAAAGCATTTGCATGGAAAGCGGGAGTTTTTGCCAGTGGTTTTATGACATTATTTTATTTCTAATTAAACCCAGCAGAAAGCGCGTTATCAAAATGACTCTGCATCTTCAGGGGCGATATTCTACCCTAGATAATTTAATTACGTTTCCCTTTCTCTAGCTTCCATTATTCATATTTGCAAATTATCTAGAACTTGGAAGGAGCGCTGTCAAGATGAAACAGAATAGCGCTGAGATCCCCCACGTGACAGCGCAGAGAACATAGATAATGTTTATATTCCACTTTAAAATGTTATCAAGGAGGTAAACAATTATAATATATAAGAAAGATCTTGGTTCCTTAGAGGAACACAACACTTTTGTGAGGACTGTGGGTAGCTTCCATTACGTATCCATCAGGGAACTGAGTGCATGTTTCAATATTAAATATGCCAGAGACATTTTCTTTTCCACTTCTCCTTGCTAAATGAGAAAATAGGCCATTTCTTCTTGTTCAATTCTAGACATTGATGGCCCCAAGCAGATTGTTCCTCAAGTCTACAAAAGGGGCAGTTTAAAGAAGGAGGTTCATTTCAAAGTAGGATTCTGGAAAACTTAGGGCCCTTTCACACAGCCTTACATTCTAGAATATCAAGGCAAAAAATCCCACATTATCTGAGTGTGGACTCAGATAACCCAGTTCAAAGCAGATATTGTGGGATTTTCTGCCTTGATATTCTGGGATATAGGGCTGTGTGGAAGGGCTCTCAAACTGGGGCCATACATCAGTGAACGTTGTTCTGTCAACCGAGACGTCTGGAACAAGGTTTAGATTATTTTGCAAACCAGTTTGGCTACATGAAATTGCATCCTTTGGCTACATGAAATTGCATTCTGTGGTTAAAACAAGGCTGCTTACTATTTTAACCAGTGCTTCATAAGGAGTGCTTCACAAAAACTAAGTCACCAAGATTTATCTGGAATACTTGAGGGATCTGGATATGTTTATCTTAAAGAAGAGATAACGAGAGATAACATGCCTTTAAATATCTGAAAGACTGTCCTGCACAAAATGCAATGAGTCTGGAGGCCCTTCTACACAGCCCTATATCCCAGAATATCAAGGCAGGAAATCCCACATTATGGACTCAGATAACCTAGTTCAAAGCAGATATTGTGGGATTTTCTGCCTTGATATTCTGCGATATAGGGCTGTGTGGAATGGCCCTCTTTATGCTGATCCAGAAAGCAAAACCGTTGAATTCAAGGATTCAAATTAAAAGACAGGAGATTCCCACTAAATCATAGAATCATAGAGTTGGAAGAGAATTCATGGCCCATCCAGTCCAGCCCCCTGCCAAGAAGCAGGAAAATCACATGCAAGTACTATTAAGAAGAATTTACTGGTGGCAGGACATGTTTAGCAGTAGAACCAAATACAAGTGATTATTATTAATAATTAATTAATTTCTATCCTGCTTTTCTCCCGAATCTGGACTCAAAGTGGTGAACAAGATGAAGACAAAAAAAATCATAAAAATAAACATAATCATCAAACCATAACATATCTAATGAAAATTATTTAAAAATTTAAAAAACTTGTGATATACGTAATAAATAAATTACTAAGACACAGTTTAAACATTCAAACCCTATCTAATATCAATTCTTTTAGGCTGTAGTCAAGTCCAATTTCTGGAGATTCACTAATTCACACATTGCACACTTGAAACTGGTGGTTACAATACTACTCTTCTCCTTCAGAGAAGGCCTGCTTCCATAGGAAGTTTTTAACTTGGTTCCTAAATGAAAGCAAGGAAGAAGTCATTCTAACTTCTTTAGGAAGAGAGTTCCACATCCGCAGGGCAACCACTGAAAAGGCCCTCTCTCTCATATCCGCCAATCACACTTAGGACAATGGCGGGACCGAGAGAAGGGCCTCTCCTGAAGACCTCAGAGCTTGTGTGGGTTCATAGGAAGAGATGCAGTCCACTAAGTAGGTTGGGTCCAAACCATTTAGGACTTTATAGACTAAAGCCAGCACCTTGAATTGCTCCAGGAAACAGACTGGTAGACAGTGCAGTTGTTTTAACAGAGAAGTAGTTTGTTCCCTATACCCAGCTCCTGTAAGAAATCTGGCAGCTCATCTTTGAAACAGCTGAAGCTTCCAAACGCTCTTCTGGGGCAGTCCCACATAGAGGTCACCATAGTAGTCTAATCTAGATGTGACCAAGGCATGTACCACCATGGCCAGATCAGGCTTTTCAAGGGCTCTCCCTTGTTGGAGGCTTTAAATAGAGGTTAGGTGGCCACTTCACAGGAGTGGATTCATGCACCGGCTGCCAAGTGGAGAAAATGGACCTTCAGGTATTTTCCAGTTCTATAAATCTGATTCACCTGAAGTCCACTAAAGGCAATGGAAGCACAACCTACTCTAATAGGGGAGATGACCCATGGTTCCATGTCACAAAGTTGGCGATTTAATTCTGTAGCCATTGTATTTTTACCTCCTACGAAGTATTCACTGCCATTATTTAAATGTAATATCCAAAATCTTTTGCTACCTATGTCCTCCTTGGATCTCTCTAAGGCTGTTTGAACCCAACCCCACTATCAGGAGAATGAGACTGTTGTCTCTAGCAGCAGACTATGCAACAGGGGGCTTGTATGTAAGATGTGTGTATCTTGTGTCTAAAATAATCCTCTGAACCTAGGTGCAACGGAAGACTGACAGTGTGGTCAGCTTCTCTTTACTTGCCGTTCGCCACATCAAATAAAACATTATGGACCAGCCTTATTCCCACCAGAAAATAATCCTGAAATGAAATGGCTCCTAGTTTCATATCATTGGCTATTGCTAGCTATCATCACCAGGTGGTTGCTTCTCCATTCCTTTCCTCACAGCTAGTAAACGACTAATACATTCACAATCCCCCTCAGTAATTGATGGCTGCAACATGGCGAATATTTGCCCATTATGCTCCACATGTAAAATTGTGGCCAACATGTTTTAAACCCAATTTATTAATGCTTTGAGCAGACACAATGGAATCAACAGGGCTTAAATTAGTCACGACTTTGTCCCACTGATTTCAGTGCCTGTTATAAATATGGCTAAATCTGGACCCAACCCAAGATCAGTTTGACAATGCGTCACATTTTCTGTTAGCAACTTCATGCACATGGTTCCTTGGATGACATATGTTTCGGATGGGAGTTTTCCCCCATAGCCATCTGTTAATTTATGCTTCCACTGTACAGAAGTTTTGTCAAAACAAGTATCTTACCCAATGTCTCCCATTATGCACCCAGACCAGGTATCCTCACACTTGCAATCACCTAAAATAAAATAAAAAACATATCATTCCCAATGTGAGTTTTATTATTACAGGTATTTTGTTGAACAGGGGAAGAAAGAATGTAAAATGCTATTATGTTTATGAATAAATCATAACTATCAGACTAGTTTTGGGCAGAATAGTCTTGTTAGCCTGTTTTGCATAAAAAATTGAAAGATTAATGTGGCATATTAAAGATAGGCCACTGTAACTGTGTTAAAGGGACCATAATACTTTTGGGAACATAATACCAACGAAAACAATGGGGAGAAGGGCACGGCATCCCACCAGGCTTTTGTGGCTGTTGCCACCTCTCCCTTCTCTGTCACCAGCTGGGATCTCTTGCCCAACAGCGCAGGTGGCTTTATGAGCACAATTCTAACACGCCATTGAATCTAATGCACATCTCAATTTTGGTAATGTAACTTAGCCAAAAAAAGGTGAGCATTAAACTTGTGGCCTCATCACACTAGAGAAAAAAATCCACTTAAAATCTGGTTCTGCCTCCTGCAGAATTCTGTGGTTTGTAGTTTAGGGAGGAGCTTTTAACAGTCTCACTAAATTACAAACTCCAGAATTCTGCAGGAGGCAGAAACTGGATTTAAAGTGGATTTTTTCTCTAGTGTGATGAAGTATTTGAACAGAATGGTAATTAGAAATAATTATTTAGAAAAAGTAACTTGTACACTCTGAGACACCATATTTAGTTTGAAGATTCTAAGAATGGATGGAAGTCAGCTATATTTTTAAATAAGCATATTTATATTCACATACTTGATTTTAACACACATGTATATAATAAGTATGTTTTACTGTAATAGCCATGGAGCCCCCGGTGGCACAGTGGTTTAAACCCCTGTGCTGGCAGGACTGAAGACCGACAGGTCACAGGTTCAAATCCAGGGAGAGCACGGATGAGCTCCATCTATCAGCTCCAGCTCCTCATGCGGGGACATGAGAGAAGCCTCCCACAAGGATGACAAAACATCCGGGCGTCCCCTGGGCAACATCCTTGCAGACGGGCAATTCTCTCACACCAGAAGTGACTTGCAGTTTCTCAAGTCACTCCTGACATGACAAAAAAAAAACCTGTAATAGCTACATGCCATATCTATTCCAAATGGAAAAATGAAATACCTTCTCCTAATATGCAATTTTGAATTTGGTGGTATCTGTTTTATTGATATAACATTGGAAGAAATCTAGAATTCCATTGTCTTGAATGTGCAATTGGCACAAAAAACAATACTGAGGATTTTTACTGAGGATATACTTGCAACCTTGAAAAATCTGTGTTTTAAAATAAGCCAAACTCCTCACCGCTCTGTAGTTTTCTCTTGTCTGAGAAAATGCCAAGATTGTAAGCCAAGGACTGTGCCAAAGTAACAGACATCAAATCTGCCTTTCCAAACTGAAAAAGAATGATAATAATGGCTCATCAAGGAAGTCATCAAAGTAAATGTCCTGAAGCACTAGATGATACACAAGCAGGTGGCATGTACTGCCTGATAGTTACTTTGAATTGTAGATGAGTACCAAGAAGGCAGGAAGTTACAAAGCACTCTATTAAGAATCAGTCAGCTAAGGGATGTAAAACATTTACTCTCAAACAGTGAATGGATTGTGAATACAAGTGGAACCTCTGTTGAAACATTAAGTTAAATCTTTGTTTGGCTACAGCTAAATTAAAAGTGACATTTTTCATGTGATCACATTCATTTTCAAAAACTGATGTGGAGTGAAAGTGAAATTAGGGAGGGCTTTTATCCTTTGCCCCAAGTAAAATCACCAGGGAAAGTGAAATTCCTGTTATTTTTCAATAAGATGAAAGATCTCACTGGGAGTCAAGGGCAACAACTGTAGGTCCTGTTTCTGAGAAAGATTATAGTAAAAACAAAGGGGACCAATATGGTAATCCCAGACTAGGTAGTCCTCCAATTGTTCATCCAGATCCTGGGAAACTCTGGGGCACAAGAACATGGTAGACATTAATTAAGGCAATTAATGAACATGTGGAAAAAGATCACATCACACTGTGTCACAGGAGCAGGACTAAAGATGATTTTGAGGAATCACTATGTAGCGGGGGACACAGATAATTTCTGGAGTCATGCAGACCTACTTCATTCACTCCGCCACCTCTTAGTAATGAACAAATGCCCCCAATATAGGCTGCACTGCTGCGGCTGCTCTGAAACTGGCTCCCCCTTTGAAAAAAACACAGTGAGAGGAAAAAAATAAGATGTGAAAAAAGTAATTTAAGCATTACAGTTAGAAAGAATGAAAAGAAAACAAAGCCTGCCCAATATGGAAGTATTAGACATTCAATTAACCAGAGACAGAAGGTCTGTTTGGAAACTCCCCCCTTTGCTGATTTAGCACTTTTGTGATAAGAACTCTGATTTTCAGAGACAGTAGATTTAAAGGGGGCAATGGAAGATTTGAAGCAATGTGTTTTTATCTTTATTGTACCAGATATGCTGCTTGCTATACAGACAAAGAGAGTACAGTAAGATGATTAACACCAAATTCACTATTGTAATTGCACTCTAGCACTGAAATACCTTCACACCCAGCACCACACCAGAGTCCAGTAATTCTATCTAAACATGTTCATTAAAGAAAGCAGATAAAAAAGGGGAAAGGGACAATTCCAAAAGGATCAGTGGCATATAAAATACAAAATAGCAGTAATCCAAAAATGAGAAGGAACATAAAGTCAAGGAAACCAAAATCCACAGCAGTATCCCAAACATAAATTAATGAGCATGAAAACAGGAACTTTCCCAAGGTAAATTCTCCAAGGAAACACAGGCATGGGCAAGCAAAGGAAACTTCAGAATACTTGAACAAGAACTTGAGAGCATTAACAGAACAATCTTCTATAGTAGCATTGTCTCCTCTGAGAGGCCTGAAATCAAACCACTTAATTTAAGCCCTGAAAGGCACCCATGACATTATGCCCAACACATCTGGACCTTAGGGTCTTATCTCGGATCTGCTGGGAATATCTAATTTGCCTATTTTTTACTCCCTACATTCTCATGTCTAATCTAGCCTCCCTGGAAAACTCCCCATCTGGCCAGGGCCTTTTCCCCAGCGAACTGGAATTTGTAGTTTCTCCTGAATGAGCACAGGAATCCAAAACATTAGCCTCAGCTGTCTGTAATTCTCACTCACAGACTCTTCACTTTGAAACCCATCATCCTCTGAACCATCAGAAAAATCCTCAGACTCTTGCTGGACTACAACAATTATTTTCTAAGAAAGCAACTTTGGTGTTCTCATATCCCCAATGAATCTCTCTCGACAACAGGATGAAAGCAACGGTACCTTTGGATTCAGGATTACTAAAACAAATAGTAGAAGTTACTTTACCCTCTTGGAAAAGAAGCACAAAAATAGTAGAAAGGCATTGCTAAGACTCACTGGCTTCTCAGTTTCCATTTTTTAAAAATGTTTTGAAAACAGAATAATAAACCATCATAATTCAAACTGGAAGTAAACACTTTTAGGCTCCTCCTTCCATCTCAAGTCCTAAACATGTGAGGGGGACACAGCTGGACCAGATCAATAAAATACTATGCCAATGATGTTGGAAAGTCAGACCATGCCACCCAAAACAGTAACAAAACAATAGGAAATTACGTACGAAAAAAGGTGAACTGCATCACTTTTCTCTTTGATAAAATCCCTCCTATATTTCATAAATTCACGCAGAGTCACCAGTGGGTTTTCGGAGATGGTGAACTTATTATCCGTACCCCAGGTTTCCATGGCAACCAATACTATCCTGGTCTTCAGCTGTTCTTTATAAATCTAGCATATTAACAAAATGAACAATTACCAAGGAACAGTGTAAATTAAATATTGCCTCTTTAGATGTAACTAAGGAAATATTCAGCGTAAAGAAAATTAATGAAGGATCACTGTCATCGCCTTTATAACAAATTAACGCATAATGGGATAAATGGCTAAACATCTTAACATCATTTAAGGGACATTTCTGTAAAAACTAATGACAGCTTTGATTCGAGCAACATGTTTCAACACATGTTGAAACCTATTGAGATAACTGGAATTTTGGCTTTTCGCTCATCTACACTTAAGCGAAAGGCTAAACAGACATTGATGAATCAATACAGTTCTGTTATCTCTCTCTCTGACCTCAAATTACCATTCCTGTGATAAAGTTGACATTGTATCTAAGACAGCGGCTTGTGAATTATACTTACTATGTCTGCCATGTTTACTACTGATTTCGCAAAGCTGTTTGTGTGGCCGACAGATAATCGATGCTTTTTCAGCTGAGAAACAAAACGACAGACAAATTCTGAATGTACTTTTGAAAGATAATTGTCATCCGTGAATGACTTTGTCAAAGGCTTGCTTCACTTGTGACATTAAAAAAATGGATCACTTCCAATCTATTCAAACATTTCTATTAGGGTTTTTTTTTTTTCAATTCAGTATAATGACATGAAAGGTAGATTACAAATTGATGAAAGGAACATTTCAGCTGGCAGATCTTCTACCACCAGCAGACAGGCTTTGAAGTCCGTGCTAATATCATAAGGGCTGTCCAATAGTATAGAAAGGGTTAACTTGCATTAGAGACTGTATTTAAGACTCTTTGCATTAGCATGGCAGTATGAGTATTGAAAAAAAATATGAAGGCTTTTAACAGACCAGAGGAGTGAATTTTCCTCTGCTATTAATTGCTTGCACTGTTCCCATAGCTATAGGGATTGTGCACTATGATTTTCTTTGTTTGCTTCTGCACTATGTTGGAAGTCCATCTTGCATCAACTTTGCCTGCAGGGGTTGCATCTGAATCCAGGGGTGACTCATTTCGCCAATTCTGGGAAACTGGACTGCTGCCCAGGGATAATATGGGTAGAATTACAGTCATCATATCCACGGATTGTGCAGACATCAATCCTAATATTCAAGGCTTTAAAATAATCAAAACAAAATTCTAACAAGCAAATCTTGATTTTGCCATTTTATAGCAGAACCAATATATTACGACATCATTGCATATAATGGTACTTGATCATCGTTAGCACAGTGGATTAAACCTCCAGCTGCAGAAAATCTTGCCAATCGAAAGGTCAACAGTTCAAAATCGGGCTGGGGTGAGCTCCCAACCATCAGCCCTGCTTCTGCTCACCTAGCAGTTCAAAAACAGCAATGTGAGTAGATAAGTAGGTACTGCTTTGGCAGGGAGGTAATAAAAGGCGCCCATGTGGACATGCAGGTGATTCGATTGGGAGAGTGCCTAAGGGCAACAAAGCTCCTCGGCATGGAGGATGGAGTGACAGCACCCCGCCCACCATCCCCATGGCCGGAGTCAAGCACAGTCTTCAGATGCCTGAGATGGAAAAAGATAGGAAGCCTTTACCTCTGTTTATGTACTGTCTGACTTTGTTAATTGTATAACAGCATTGAATGTTTGCTGTATGTGTACTGTTTTGTTGTTTATTCGTTCAGTAGTTTCTGACTCTTTGTGACCTCATGGACTATCCCACGCCAGAGCTCCCTGTCAGCTGTCACTACCCTCAGCTCCTTCAAGGTCAAGCCAGTGTGTACTGTAATCCACCCCTTGGGGATTTAGGTGGAATATAAATAAGGTATATTGTTATATTGTATTATCTATGGATTTTGGATCGGTGGGGCAGGGGTTCCTAGAATCAAACCTCAAAGCATGTCGATGGTCAATGTAGTTGTTAAGGGATCCAGTTTTACCACTGATTGTGCCAGGATGCTAAGCTCCATCAGATAAAGGGCTGGGATGCCTTTCTTCTCTATATCATCTGCTGCATCACTTAACACCAATAAAGCTTATCACATAGTATTGATGTGTTTCAGTATTGCAAACAAAGTCTAAATCCAGACAGATATTCTAAAAGCTGATGGGAAAATGTAAAGTATCTTACTAGGTCAGTGAAGATAAGAAGGTGAGTGAAGGGGGTAGGTGATGGAGGCATATAAAATTATGTATGGTTTGGAGAAAGAGACAAGGAGATGGCTCCCTCCTTCCATCCCTCCCTCTCTCTCTCTCTCTCTCTCTCTCTCTCTCTTTCAGTAAAAAGCTGGAGGAATCAAGAGAGCTAATAGGAGGGACTGTTTCAAGCAGCATGCAGTTAAACTATGGAATTGACTAACAGCCAACATGGACTTCTTTGAAACCAGATTATGCAAATCCATGGAAGATAAGGCTGTCACTGGCTATAGATATATTTTATTTATGTGTGTACAATATCAGAGTCAATAAATATCTGCCAGTAGCATTACTGAGGAACAAAGTTAAGAGGGTATTGTTATACTTTTGCTTATGGGCTTTATTTATTTATTTATTTATTGACACCCTGGCTTTCTCTCAATTAGGTATCAGACTGGCCACTTTAGGATTCCTAATGATATGGTCCTTTGATCCACACCAGCTAATTTATATTCATGTGCATTTAGGATGGGAAGTTACCAACACCAGAGAATGACATAAGGTCACGCTGGAGAAACTAAAAATTCCTGGAAGGGTGTTCTTTAATAACCTGACCCCTATGACATGGAGGGCTTACTGTACCTGTACATTAGAGTTGCACACACATTGACATATAAACACAGATGCTGTTGCATACTGCACAGTAAAGTGGAAGATCAGTAAAGATTATGGCAGAGATGTTGATGATCATGACTTACCGAAATGGAACAATGGGATGATTGGGAAGCAATATAAAGACAAGGAATGAACTCACACCAGCTCCAAATTCAATTGTAGAAATAATTAATTTTAATTCAGGTAACAGATTCAAATGTTGGGCAGACTGCTCCAAAAATGAATAATAACATTGAAGGGAGGAGAATATTAGGCAGGGATTGTCCAAATTAAAATTAATAGGCTATGTGATTATTGGCCACGATATGAAGTGCTTTCCCCCTTTGTTTGTTCTTGCTTAAATAATTGAAATCCACTTGACATTAAGAGTTATTTCTAACTGTATGATCCATAATCCTGCAGAGTGTTTCTCCTACAGAGAGCCTGCTGCTGATTCCAGGAGAGCTCTGCTTCATTTCTATGGAGTTTGCAAAGGAGTGGATTGGATTGTATATTTTATTTACGCTCTGGGGAAAAAAAATCCACCCACACAATTTCATCCAAATTATTACATAAGATGTCTCTTCATGGAATAAGAGGTTATTGATTTTTTTTCACCTCCACAAGAAACAGGAAAGAAAGCCATCCTATTTTACTGAGTGTGCTTTGAGATGATTTTATTCCCGGTGCATTTATGCTACTATCCAAAGTGGGAGTGGCCAAGGAAGTATGTGTCATATCTACCCTTCATAATGGTCACAAATCTTCGTGTGGCTGTCAAAAGCATGGGGAGGTACCGTTTAAGATTCATCAGTAGAAATATAGTGTCAAGTTCAAAGGAAGTGGATTCTGCTTTGATCAAACTTCACCTGAATACTGTGTCCAGTTTTGGGCAAAGCAATTAAAGAAGGGGATTGACAAACTGGAACGTGTCCAGAGAAGGGTGACCAAAAAGGGGTTGGAAACCTAGCCCTATGAAAAGCAGCTTAGGGAGTTGGCTTGGAGAAAAGAAAACTGAGAGGGGACATGACAGCCATGTTTAAATACACTTGAAAGGATGTCATGCTGAGGAGGGGTCTTGTTTTCTGTGGCTTTGGAGACTAGAACACAGAATAGTGGATTCAAATTGAATGCAAATGGACATGGATTTTAACCTGGAAGTCATTTTATAATTTTAAATTGTTTTATTATGAATTTTATTATGTGATTTAACCTGTTTTAAATGATGTATTTATGTGTGTTCAGCATCTAATGTTGCCAGTCTATATGCTGCCCTGAGTCGCTTTTGGGCTGAAAAGGACGGGATAAAAGTATAGTAAATAAATAAATTGCAGGAAAGGATATTCCATTTAAGCATTAGGAAGAACTTCCTGATGGTAAGAGCTTTTCAACAGTTGAAAGTGCTGCCATGGAGTCTCCTGCTCTGGGGGCTTTTAAGCAGAGGCTGGATGGCCATCTGTTGGGGGTGCTTTGAATGTGTGTTCTTGCATGACAGGCGGTTAGACTGGATGTCCCTTGCAATCTTTTCCAAATTATATGATTCTAGTAATACTTATTTATTCAAACCATAGTGGAAGACCTGTAAGGCTGCAATTATAACAATCCAACTCAGAAGAGAATACTGCACTGGCAACAGTTCTGAACGGAATAAACCAAAGTGCCTAAGAAGTTTTATCCCCTGACTTTTCTTAATGCGGGGCTAAACCGGGATTATCTACCAGATATTCCAGAATAATGTAGGGACAGCAAGGAGCAACTACGTCGAGTGTGATCTATTAAATCCATGTAAATAAGCCATTAATTAATTAATGAACTAAGGCAGGTTCATAAATGCTGTAGAATAGTTGAAAAGTACTGATTTTGGGGTGGACACTGGCATCGGTGCAATGTATAGTTGTATTTGTTTGGTCTTTCTAAATAGGTGTGCAAGAATTTGTGCAGTAAATATATATAATTTTAAAAATAAATGCTGAGGGAAATAGAGCACTTCCTCATCTTCAGTAATATCTTGACAATTTGCATTGCTAAAGGCATTCTTCTGTAAAGAATGAAAAACAAATGTCATGCATGACGTTATGCTATAAAAAAAACCTGGAATATTTGCTAATTACTGCATTTTCTTTTGCTCTTAGCTATTCTATTGAACAACTCCAAATATTATCCCATAGAGCATTGACATTGTTTTGACAACATCCTTTATACGTTAGAATCATTTTGCAGTAGGTACTTTAACGTTAATCTATTGTAGGCACAAAATTGCACATGCATTATTAATTACTTTGAAAAGGCCCAATATGCAAAAGCTCACCATTAGATGATCATTTACAATCATTAGCTCAACATATTTCATATCATTTTCAAACTGATGTGAACTCTGATGGATCTGCAGAAAGAATAAGGTAATAATATACATGTTTAAAACAGCAACAGGCAAGACATCTGATTCTAAACCTATCTGACCGAAACGTATGCGGCCTCATTTTAAAAGCACTTAAAAGTAGTTCCAGGCATCGAATTAGCAACAGAATGTGTGCCATGCCTTCTCGTGTTTGCCTGAAATAAACAGACTAAAAACAAATTCTAATATATTCCTGGGAGATTCATAATGGACAAAGTCTGCATTAAGATATCGATTACGACTGGATTCCCATCAAAGTGATCATGATTGTTCAACAGAAAAATATTTTGAAAAGGTATGCATAAGACAAACCTTCAGAATATGATTTATTTTATGCAAAGTAAAAAGAACCAAAATGATAATTAAATTATTTAAAGGACATTTCTGTCTGCTATATTTTTGCTAAATAATAAACATCTGATAGTTATTTTAGCATTACATTTCTGTCTACTTCACAAGTGAAAAAAGTGAAGTCCTACCAACTCTTTTGTGCATCTTTTCCTAACATCCACCAGCCCAAATCAGCTGTGTGGTCCTAGTGTTGTACTTTGCCAATGACATTTGGCACAAACTATAGCTAGAGTCATTCCTCAGTAGCCAAGTAGCTGCAGCTAAATTAGCTAATACCTTCATCTCCCCACTCAAATAAGTTGCCAAGCAATAGCAACGGCAAGGAATTTACACCTATTCACACAACACAGAAGACAAAGAGGTCACTCAGCATAAGTAATATTTTCTAGTTCGCTCCACATATCAACTGTGGATCTTGCTCCAAAGACGCACAGTTCAGAAAGTAGCTGGCTCTATACAGCAGAGCTGGTTGTGGTTGATGACATGAGGACCTTTGTGTTCACCTTCCTTCAGCAGGTGCTGCTGCCTCCTCCTCCCTTCCCTTTACTGTTTGGGCAGCTAGCAAATTCTTTATGTTCCTCCCCTGCATATGCTGAGAGAAGAACAGGAACAATGTGTCCTCCCAAGGGGAATGCGGCATCTGGCACTTGGTGGATACATGATGATGGAGGCAAGATCTCTGGGACTGAAGTCGTACAAAGGATGGCTGTGAGCTGCTGGTAAGGGGATCTCCGTCATTGGAGAAACCAGTGGCAAGGCTGTTATTCCACCCAACAAAATGCTAAAAACAGATTGCCCTTCTTGTATGTGAACATATTTATTATTGTTATTATTATTATCTTCTTCTTCTTCTTCTTCACTTGTATACTGATTTTCTCACCCTAGCAGGGGACTCAAAGCGGTTTCAAACAGTCTTCAAAGGCAACGCCATGTAGAGCGCGTTGAAGTAATCTATTTGGAATGTAATCAAAGCATGGACTACCATGGCCAAGTCTGACTTCCCAAGGCATGGTAAATATTTACATTTGCCTTCTACTGAAATTGCAAAAGGTTTTGTTTCCTGTACTTCTTTAGAATTTAAAATAAGACACAAAACACATACAAAAGAAAACAGAGCATAGACCTTGAGAAGTTTCTCAACTGAGAAAGTGACCTCTGGCCTTACTTCAATTACCCAACCCAAATCTAATGTGAGAGATACATATACAAACAAGCCTATGCAATCTAATCCCCAATTTTAGTCCTAGGTATTTTCAGGCAAGTGCCTTAATAGCATTGGTATATAAATAAATAACAATGTCATGAAATCTAAGCTGTGTCTATCACTGAAATAATCCATACAGTTTCTCTTTGATTTGAATGTCTACCATATCCAGCAATACTGGCAATGTATTTGTGGCTACAATCAAACATTGCTATAAAAGTATCAAGAAAACCAACAAGCTCCTTTAGAACTCCCCATTCGGGAACTGCAACCTTGAAGCAACACACAAATACTAAATGTGTTGAGATAAAATATTCTAAATGTGATGAAATAAATACTGCACAAGGAAACCGGAAAATCATGCTTATTCGTTCTGCCCTTGCATCTGTATTGACTATTCCCATAAACAGGGATGAGATATAGGCGACCCTAAAGGCTCAGTCCTAATTTAATTTAGCAGGGCCATACCTAGCAGGAAAAAAAACCAGCTGAATGAAACAGACTCTCTTCTTCCAAGTTTGCCCCCCATTGTGGTGAGAAATGATAAATTATTATTATTATTATTATTATTATTATTATTATTATTATTATTATTTGAAACACAACAAGATGAGTCCACAGCAAACAAGATCACTCTGCTGGCTGTTGTATTGGATCACATGTCGGACACTTCCCAAGTGTCTAGGACTGTGTGATGTATTGGCGAATAATGCATGCAGATCCCAGTAAGGTGGCCTTTTGCAGCTGGAAGATGGTAATTTTGTCAGCGCTGATTGTGTTTAAGTGCATATTGTGTTTAAGTGCAGGCCAATGTCTTTCGGCACTGCATCCAGTGTGCCGATCACCACTGGGACTACCTTTACTAGCTTTTGCCAGAGTCTTTGCAATTTGATCTTTAAATCCTCATTTCGTGTCAGCATTATTATTATTATTATTATTATTATTATTATTATTATTATTATTCTGCCCTGTCTCCCCAAGGGCACTCAGGGCAGCTTTCAAAGTAAAAATGGCAAATATTCAAAGCCAGTACAAAACATAATTGACAATTGACAGACAATTAAACGTAAATCAACCAAAAATATTACATAAAACATAAAATATAAAACATATCAAAAGAAAAAAATGCACAGATTAAAATCCATATTAAAATATATATCATAATTTGATATTGGTTATGGGACCAAGTGTTAAAATAGTAGAGGCAGCAATTTAGAATGAGACCCAATTTGTGTGTATGACAATGGATTGACCTGGACCATGATTTCAAACCTGCGTGATTAAAACAATGTTTTTAGGAATTTGAGTATTAACAAACTGTTTTAATTGCTTTTATCATTTATAAGTGTTGCTGACATTGAATGAATGCCTGTTGTGAAGCCGCTCTAAGTCCCTCTCCGGGGGTGAGAAGGACTGGATACAAATATGTGAAATAAATAAATAAATAAATTTAGAATGAGTTGATCTCTGTGTCTGAATGCCAGTTCCCCTTTCACTATCACGTTCAGTTATCCATGCTGGCCAAATCCAATTGGCACACATATTCCCAACAGGAAGAGGATTGCACTTCCCCTGCACCATGCATAGCTATTAAAAATAAAAATACAAACCTGTGGGGATGGGCACATGTTTGTACAAAAGTCAGTGCACAGGGACATACCTGCCTTTTTCTTCTTTTGTGTCTTGGTTTCACAACAAACCTCTGTGACGTGGTATTCATATGCCAGAATTCTAAACAAAACACATATTGAGGCAAATTTGTTAATAAAGTTATTTACTACTTCAACAGCAGTATGAAAACAGAAATAAGGCTGAACCCAATGGCATGACAAGTATTTCAAGAGCTACTCAAAATTCAAGTGAACTTTACATTTTTACACCCTTCACAGTGATTTCCCATAGAGATTTTGCACTTGGCAGTTGTTCAGGAAGGTGAGATATAAGTTTAGATGATATAATAGACCGTACTAGCAATAAATATGAGAGAGACGTAACTATGGAAACTTGCTAGTTTAAAATTATGCTTATAAAGAATCTCAAGAGCAATTCAAGTACAAAAGTCATTTTAAGCCATAAGATTCAAGGCAAAAAGGTCATCATTGATATACATTGGACAATGTTTTAATAAGAGGAGCTAAACTGTATGTCTGTAATGAGAAGCTGTGCTTGAAAAATATGATGATCTACTTATCTGTACAAGAGACGCATTGCCACATCAGCTGGCATTCAGCACAAGCAAGAAACTAGCTTGTGTGGAAAGCCTAGACATTTAAGGGCAACTCTGCATGGACCCTTTATCCTGGGGCAAATTCAGCATGGTGTATGCTGGACCAGTTCCAGGGTGGTTTTAACTGCCAATTCCCCACCCATTGCAGGAGAAGAAGGGAATCCCAACTGTCTAGCGGTGCAAACCCAACTGAGCACTACCAGATGACCATCCTTACAATTCCTCTCCCGTTCCTGCCATGGCAGTGGCCAGTGAGTGCAAAATGGCAGGTGGCCACCACTTGTTGCCCCAGAGGCATCAGAGCAACAGAGAAGGGGGGGAGATGAGGAATCTCCTTCTCCTTTCTCATCTTCCTTGTCTAATCACTTCATCACTTTGGCCAGTATCACTCAATGAACACTAGTCATGTTACACCCTCTGGCCACTGCGACGATGAGAATGGGATGGTGACTGTGAGTGACATCCTGTGTCCCTGGGACAATTGGACCTGGGGAATACAGGATGGCCATGTAAACAGATGTTCTGTCTTAGACCAAATCCAACTGCTTACATGGGCCCATAGTCATGGTTTGCTCTGGATTCTCAGGGACCAAAAACTGAATCATAACCCTTTTGGTACTAATGTTGGAGAGTAGTTCCTGGTCAAAGTGCTCCTTGGTCAAAGTGGTCCCTGGTCAAAACAAAAAAGGTTGGGAATCACTGCTTTAATTACATGTGATCCCTTTCATATTATTGGTGAATCGAAGAGGCAATTAATCGAAGAATCGCAATTAAGCATCTATGACAAATCAGTGTAAAATGCTAACTACAAGGGAACATCCAACTTAATTTACATATGAAATAGACATGCCTTAGGATGCAATGAAGTGATATTCATTATTCAGAAGCGATTCATTCTCCTTATTACCATTGCTTCACACTACTACACCCTGAAATGTGTCCCTTTCATATGTGGGTTCAAACGGGATGCTCTCATATTTTTGAAAAGCGGTGTCAAGGTCAATGATAATTGAAGCAATCTGCTTCTTTGTCACAGTCAAAATGAAAAGAATCAAAAGGCTTATCCAGATGTGCATCCCTGAAGTTGTATAAAGATCTCAAAAGTAAAGAAAATGCTTCTTTCCAATTTCTTCAGGGGAAATAATTCCACAGCTTTTTCTAACACAGTCTAATACTAACTGCTATAATCTCCGCATTTTCAGTGGAGCGCTCGGTGGTGCAATGGGTTAAACCCTTGTGTTTGCAGGACTAATGAGAGACAGATCAGAGGTTTGAATCTGAGAAAGTGGGTTGAGCTCCCTCTGTCAGCTCCAGCTCCAGCTCCCCATGCAGGGACATGAGAGAACCCTCCCACAAGGATGGTAAAACATCAAAAACATTCATGGATCCCCTGGGCAACGTCCTTGCAGACGGCCAATTCTCTCACACCTGAAGCGACTTGCAGTTTCTCAAGTTGCTCCTGACACAAAAAAGCACCTTCAGTGGCTGCATACAATTCAGAAACATAGCCTTATTCTGCCTCCAACTGCTCACATTTTTGAGTAAATTAATAGTAACTTCAATGACCAGTAAGCTGCAAGAGCCTCCCAGCTATTTTCTCACACAACCAGTATTTTCCGTTTACCAGGAAATTGGTAATGTAAAAAAAGGTCTCTTTGGTCCCACTGACGTCAACAACACGTATTTCAACACAGTCTCCAGAGGACTGCAGGCTTGGATAGAGATGATCAAAGCACAGTTAAATCAGTATTTTAATGACAGGATCAGATAAATAATCTTAATGGCATGAATAAAATTCAGAATTTTTAAAAGGCCTCAAATCCCTATTTAATAAACAGTTCAATATTTTTTTTTCGCCACAGGCAAAGTTTCTTTATCTGAATAAACGTAAACAGATTTGGCTGTGAGAAGCCATTAGGAATCATCCACATATATTGCTAAAACTGCCCTCGGAGGTTTACAGGAGAGTATTTTTTTTGCTCTTTCTTGAAGATCAAAACCTTTCACTAAGTATTTTTTTAAGCCGTAATGTCACAAACCATGGCTTTTGTATGCAAATATGTCTGTATCTGAGTGCTTCAGCAAATATATTGCACCCAAGTCTGGTTTTATCAAAGTTTTTTTAGGCTTTCTATTAAAAAAGATGTCAGAATTCAGCGTGAAAAATTGTTTTAATACATGTAGTTTAAAATATGACATTCCCTCCTGTGAACCTGTTTGTAGATACAAAGCATTTTCAGACTCTCCAAATACATTTTTCTCATGACTTTAAAGGTGCATCCAAACAAGGCATGGGCAAACTTTGGTCATTCAGGTGTTTTGGACTTCAACTCCCATAATTCCTAACAGCCTCAGGCCCTTTCCTTTTCCCCCTCATCCGCTTAATTTTGTCATTTGCTCAATTCAAAGTGCTGGCGCTGGCCTTTAAAGCCCTAAACGGTTCTGGCCCAACTTACCTATCCGAACGTATCTCAGCCTATCAGCCCACCAGGACCCTAAGATCTTCTGGGGGGGCCTGCTCTCTATCCCGCCTGCTTCACAGGTGCGGCTGGCGGGGACGAGAGACAGGGCCTTTTCTGTGGTGGCCCCGCAGCTATGGAACGCCCTCCCCATGGAGGTAAGATCAGCCCCCTCATTGATGGTTTTCCGGAAAAGACTAAAAACCTGGATGTTCGAGCAGGCGTTCGGTTAACTCAGTGCAATAAGTGTAATGATTGAAGGACTGGCAATTTGGACGACGAAACTGGATCGCGATTTTAGTCAAGAGATGAATTGGATTGTTTATTGATATATGTATTGTGGATCGTGTTTTTATGCTTTTAAACTGTATACTGTTGTTTGTTATAAGTTGTTGTAAACCGCGTTGAGTCGCCGGCTAGGCTGAGAAACGGCGGTATACAAGTATAGCAAATAAATAAATAAATAAAATAAAATTTGGGAGTTGTAGTTGCTGGGATTTCTAGTTTACTTACAATCAATGAGCATTCTGAACTTCACCAATGATGGAATTGAAGCAAACTTGGCACACACAACTCCCATGACCAACAGAAAATACTGGAAGGGTTTGGTGGGCATTGACCTTGAATTTAGAGTTGTAGTTCACCTATTTATTTATTTATTTATTTTATTTATTAACTGCATTTCTATACCGCTTTTCTCACCCCTGGGGGCGGGGGGGACTCAAAGCGGTTTACAACATAATAAATGACAAATTCAATATCTCATAGCCAAATAAGTAACATATAACTATAGAAAATAACCATTAAAACTATAAAAACATCAAGCATAGACATAAGTGTGAAACATATTATTGCTGCAATTAACAATGTAGACCTCTTCACTCCCCCCCCCCCAACTCTCTCTACATAGTGTTTCAACCCTTCTTTTTATACCCTCCCTGCTCCTCCCCATCCCATCAGACACAAAGTTATTTAGGTACTGATTGAATACAAAATGGGGAGGGTAAAAAAAACCCACATCCTGGGCCTTCTTGGGGGATGGTAAATGTGATATGGGGTCTTGGGGCAGGCGGAGGGAGAATCTTATCTGACGATGGTAGTAGGCTACTGATCAGTTTCGTAAAAGTCCAGAGGAACATAGATTTTATCGGTTGTGGTGTCATAAGTCAGGTATGAGTTATCACTTGCCAGTAGACTGAGGATGGGGAGGGGCACTGAAGTGTAGCTGCCACCAAGGAGAGTTGGTGTGTAGGCTGCACCTTCCACTCTGGAGGAGCCAAAGTCTCCTGCCCTCCTTTTAACTTCCTTCTTGCCGGCAGCTGGTGGAAGGAGCAGCAAGGTGTAGCTGCTGCCAAGGAGAGTTGGTGGATTCAAACAATGATGGATCTGGACCAAACTTGGCACAGATACTAAATACACCCAAATGTGAGCACTGATGGAGTGTAGGGAAAATAGACTTGACATTTTGGAGTTGTAGTTGCTGGGATTTATAGTTCACCTACAATCAAAGAGCATTCTGAACCCCACCAATAATATAGTTGGGCCAAACTTCCCACACAGAACCTCCATGACCAACTTAAAATACTGTGTTTTCTGATGGTCTTTGGCGACCCCTCTGACAACCCCTCACAACCCCCCAGAGGTCCCCACTCCCAGGTTGAGAAACGCTGCATTAGTCCATAGAAATCTTATTTCTAGAAGCCTTTCACTGCCTCCCAAAGGGGTGAATAAGTACCTTGAAGTTGTGTCTGGCGACCACTCTGACACCCCCTTGCAACCCTCCCGGGGGTCCCGGCCCCCTGTTTGAGAAACACTGTTCTAAAAGGAGCTTGGTTATTTATTACAAAAGCAATCACAGTTAGAAATAAAATAATTTAAAGAGCATTACAATACATGATCTAAATATCCTAACGGCATTAGATACTATCTGATTTTGGAAGCTAAGCAAGGTCAGCCCTGGATAGTAGTATTCATTGGAGACCACCAATAAATAGTGACAACTTTCTTGAAAACATGCTTTGGGAATCCTCAACATCTCCTTATGAGCTGATTTTTAAAATTATTATTAAACTTAATCTGACAAGATGCGAAGAGCAATGTGTTTACAGAAATGCATCAGTCCTAATCCTTAGGATGCTTTGATCTTCAACCACTTCTAAAACCAGTAATTAAGTAATTATCAGGATATCAAAAACCCTATAAATATCCTTGGTAGGAAAGGAGAAGGGAGCAGAGACAAATTCTATCAGAAGATAGTGAAAATTATGAGGCTGAGGACTGTTTCCCAATCTATATTCAGGCTAGGAGATTATTTTCTTCAGCTTTAAGTTACAGATGACGACAAAATAAAATGCGACAAGTGATTAACGACCAAAGAAAGGCAACAATGAAGGCTAAGCTGAGAGTCTGAAAAAGAGTTACCAGATGGAAGATCATCCAAAGGAAATTCAAATAATCTGGATTTGTAGACATAATGTAAGTGGAATTCCTCCTGAAATAGCAAACAGCTAAATTTAGGAAATAAATACAAAACAAAATTTCTCTGACCTTCATTATCATTGGTGTACCAAATGTTCTTTTAAATCGAATGATATAAATCAATTACATTTTACATTTTGCATTATGTTAGTACTCAGAAATTTTAGAACACACACACACATACACACATATATATATATGAATAAATTATTTTATTTCTCATTTCATCCATATGTTTAATCTGAATATTCTCAGAATTCAAAAATTCATATGGAACCCAACGCCTGTATGGAATTTAAAGACTCCCTCCCAGGTTGTTAAGTTCATTCCTTATGGAATATCCACATTGAGAAAACTGGAGTTCTGCTTACCTGTGAAGTATAATTTTCTTCTGGCTCAATAAGATACGTGTGATTCCCATCATAGAACATGCCACTGTGAAAAACAATGCAAATTTTAGAGTTATGTGCCTTCCTTCCTTCCTATACATAGAGGGGGTCTCCTCCCATTCAAGTAAGAGGCATTCCTTCAAGAATCAAAGTCCCAAGTCATTTAGGGCTTTAAATACAACTGCCAGCACCTTGAATTCAGACCAGAAGCTCCAGAGTAAATACTGCCCCCCCCCCCCGCTTGTTCTGGATTAATGGCTAGAAGCAGTGCTTCAACTGCAAATCCAGCTGCATATCATGCAGACCCCATGCAGTAGTTACACGATAAGTCAATTTATTCAGCCAGTCTTAGGAAACCAGAAGAAACTTGGGGAAAGGAATACTCTCTCCTCATATACTTTCCCAAAAGTTTAACTCTTTCCCAAGAGCGTGCCATCATGTTTCCTGGTGTGCAGTTTTTCCCATGAACATATCCATATCCATTGTGTGGTTTTAAATTTGGTTTTAATGTTTGGGTGTTTCAATTCTATGGTTTAAATGTGTATGTTTTCATTTGTATGTCTATTTATGCGACATCAAATTGTTGCCTATTATAAGCCGTTCTGGGGACCATCCAGAAACTACCTTTATCTCAGGAGCTCCTGCAGCAAGCTGGAGGGTGGCCAAACGCCATTCCCTGTAAACACGGAAGCAATCACAACAAAGGGCAAAAATGCGAGATTTTCATGTGTGGGAATATCCCAGTTCTGCACCAAAGAGCGGCATCTTCGAATGTCTGAATGTCCCTACACTCCGAAAATACAGGTTTTTTATTTGGGTTTGTTCCCAAGTTTTAGATGTTTGTTCCGGATTGGTCTGTTCCTAAAATGAAGGTAACATTTGAATAGAATGCAAAAACTTGTTTATGTGCCAGAAACTTCATGAAATATGAGGAGGGTACATTTTCTCTTGCCAGGACAAAGTCAATATTGTACATCTTTTCACAATAAGAACAATCAGGAACAGACATGCATAACCCAGGAACAACACCCTGTCTGCACAGATGGCCCTGCAGCTTATTTAACACAGGAACAGAATTTATACAGTGATTCGCATATTTGCATGTTTGCATCTTAATTTTTTTTTAAATGTCAAAATTTCTGGTGGAAGTCCTGCAGCAGCCATCTTGGGGTCTGGAAAATCCCATGACAAAGCAGCAAGTGTGGACGATGGGAGACAGAAATCCCAGGACCAACAGGCCTATATCTGGATATCTTCTCAGGTCGTGGGATTTTTTGTCCCTGACTAAACCACGTGATTTGGTGCTGACTGCAACCACTCTGAGTTCCCTTCGGGGTGAGAAGGGCGGGGTATAAATGCAATAAATAAATAAATAAATACATCCTGTTGTTATTAGTACCACTATATAGCCTTTTATTTTAGTACTTGCATCACACTCCAGTTTTGTTACATACAAAACCCCATTTTGTTACAAGCCATTAATGACAAATAAGATCTGCCATTGGCTTTTAAGTTTCTGTGTTGTGTGTGTTTTCAAGTCTGTTCCAGTTCAAGTCTGTTCCCTAAGGTGAACCTATTATGAGGTTTTGATGGCAAGATATGTTGGGAGGTTGCCATTGCCTTTCTCTGGCTGGATCTATACTGCCATATAATATAGTCTGAATCTGCATTATATGGTCAGTGTAGACCTATACAATACTATTTAACTGCAATGCAATGAACTGCATTAAATGGGTTGACACTGACCATATAATGCAGATTAAAGCTGCATTATTTGGAGTATAGTTGCAGCCTAAGAGAGAGTGGGACTAGTCCAAGCTCATTCTGTATTTTCCATGGCCAAGCAAGGATTCAAATCTTGGTCTCCCAGAATCCCACGACAACACTCAAATGACTATAATATAGCCTAGATGCTATATACATACATTAATTTTTCGGAAATTGAAAAAAGGGAACCAGAACATGCCAATCGTGGTAAATCTGAAGAAAACAATGCTTTACACAACATCAAGGTGAACACAAATTGGTAAAAAATCATTCTAAATCACAGCAACCATAGTAAGATCAGGAAAGAGTCATTAGCAGTCCCTGCTTTCATTCAGGTAGCTAACAAGAGTCACTGATAAAAGTCTAAAAGCCGGTACCATGCTATTAAATGAATCCATGTAGCGAAACCACACAGAATGCATTAAAATGATCCTATTTTTAGTCTGGTCTGCCTGCAACCTGAGCTCAGGGCATAACCTGCCATGATCTTAAATCTGGATTATTGTAAAAGGGGGGGGAAAGCCATTAACATATGGATAATTCTAAAAAAAACCCTATCAGCTTTGCAAATATATGTGTAATAATTTTAAAATGCACTTCAAAAAATGATGCTGAGATTACTAAACCATCAATCAATGAAGATCCCATAAGATAAGTGCATGCCTTTCAGAGAAACTGGATGATGACAAAGAATCTGGAGGTAAGTGCTTCTATTTATAGTGCTCTCTGCTTGACCTTAGGAACAATATACTATATCAGGGTGAGAAATCAGGTCTGCTATTGTACTATAAGTATATAAAAGAGAAATGAACTAATTCGTCAAAATTCATTATATACATTAACCAAGTTATCTTTATGACAATAACTCTGTAAGGTAGGCCAGTACTTTGCTGTTAACTGCCATCAACTTCAACTTATGGCATTCTCATGAATGAGAGACCTCCAAATCATCAACTGACCTGCTCAGGTTTTGCAGACTCAGGGCTCTGGCCTCCTTCATTTAGTTTATCCATTTATAAGGCAGTCTCCCTCCTTTCCTGCTTCCTTCTCCCTTATCAAGCATTATTGTGTTCTCCAGTGAATAATGTCTTCTCATGATATGGCCAAAATGGAGCACTCAGGTCAATCATCTGGACTTGCGTAGAGCAAGACTTTGAGATGCCACATGGAGCTGATCCAGGATAAACATGGGACCAGGTCATCTTAAAGGACCTAATCACATTAACAATTGGAAAGCGTGGAAAATCAGGGGAAAGCGGAAAGAACCATCTTAATTTGTCTCCTATCACCTTTCTCTGTCTTCTGGGATGGCTGGCCATCAATGTCCTTTTCTACCCTTTCTCATGCTTATTTACTCAGAATTCAAGTAGCATCTGACTCCTGAAAACAGAGTCTTCTCTCTGTTTAACATGCTGGCAACACGGACTCCTATGGGCAGTCACCAGAAGTGACCATGGGTCGTGAGATGACCTCAGTGATACTCCATTTTGCCAGCATGCTAAAATAGGAGAGAAGATGGAGAGTTGACTACATGGGATGAAGTCAAAAGTTGCCTTGCCTTGCCTTGCTTTAACCAAAGTTGTCCCAACTTTGGGTCTATCTGAAGACTTGGGCCAGTTCCACAATGGAACCAGCTGCAATTGTTCTCACTGCTATTCCGTGTTTCCCAAGCTTAGGTAGCCCAGAGAAAAAGGATGGCACTTATCATCCCCTCCCATCTTCCATATTTTGGCAGTCTCTGACTGTGACATGGGTCCTACCTCTTTGCCATCATTTGTAGTGACTTTGGTGGGGTGATTGGGGAAGGGAGGTTGAGATGAGGATAATTACAGCAGACAGACAGGATCCATGACATAGTAGCAAACTGTCGCAACATGGAAGATATGAGGGGATAATAGGGTGGTGATCAGGTCTTCCTCCTGCCTTCATAACAGTCAAGGGAATGCCTATTTGGCCCATGCCAAATAGGCCCCAGTGTATTGAATTGGTATATATTCATCATATGTCTCTGATTTGTTTGTTTATTTACTTCTCTAAACCCCACCAGAATGTTCATTCCATTTGCGGCTTATAACTTCTTCTTGCAGTTGCTCCCACAGTCACTCCCACAAAAAGTATGTGTATGTGTTTAAAAATATGTCTCACTGACTAAAGCAGGTTATGTCATATTTTTCAATTGTAAACAGTTTCAAAAGTTCAGAGGTTTTTAGAATATAGCATATTTTATACTTCAAAACACATAGAAGGCCTTAGAAATTTACAGATCTCTGAGGCAAGGTTATTTGTGTCCTGCAATGAGTCTTAGAAGGCATGGAATGGCTACTTCCATTAAACAGCATCTATGAACAGATTTTGCTTCATGAATTTGTCAAACACCCTTTTAAATGCCTACTTATTTATTTAATGTCAGCTAGTTTATTGGATTTCTAATATAGCTAATGCACTATGTACAAATTACAGACTTGCTCTTTCAGCAATCAAGGTAATGTATGAGCTGCTTCTAAAAATACAACTATTTTAAAATACTTGTTTAAAAGTAGTATGCTGAGTGGAATGATTTAAATACAGGTTTTAGCAGAAACACAATTTAAAAGTTATTTTTTTATTTTAACTACATGTATCTTTTTTGCTATACAGCATTTGAGAAAAACTTACTGGAGTCCATGGCATGTTGACAGAGCGACAAATGATTCCAGATTCCCTCGGATATGACCTTGGTAATAACAGTGTTCTCCTCCCTGCAATTAGAAACACAGTCTGTGAGTTAGTCTCACACTTTCCATTGTGATATACACATGATTTTTTTAAAAAGGGGGGGGGAGAGAGGTAAATTTCTAAATCAAGCTGTCTCTGAGTCAGAGAAGCAAATAGTGTCCATAATCACCCCACAAAGTGAAAATACAGTACCTAAGATCAAGCAAGTTCATTTACCACCTGATGTAGAAAATCCAGAAGCACTTTTCTCCCTCACTGAGGACATCTCTACATTTGGGGGGGGGGGCATAGTCACATGGTGGTATCCTTCACAAGTCATGAGGACTGCCAGTAAGACTCCAGACTTAGCTTTGCAGTAAGCAAAGTCAGGGGATACTTAGAGTTCACAGAAAACCCTGGTGTGATATCAGGGTTTGTGGCCATTGGAATTGCAGGACTGGGTCCCCTTCAGCACAATCCATTGTCTACATTCACATTGCCATTTACCCTTCCCTATGCTGATCAGCACATGGAAAGGAATGAGTCAGCCTCGTGTCACTACCGTCACTCCTTGATGGCCACAGAACTTTCTGCAAAAGCCTAGCTGTCACGGTCACATCTGCTGAGGTCATAACAAGGTGCCTGTGCTATCCACAAAAGGAGACATTGCTTTATTCCCTCCTTGTTGATTGTACGGGTGTCTCACTATAACCTCAGCAGATGTTGGCCAAGCTCTCACATGATCACAAGCAGTGGCAGCAGCACAAGGTCAAGGGGAGAAACCAGTGAAGCCAACATATTTCAATCTGGCTGGATTGGCTAGACATTGATGGGGTGTCACAGAGAATTCAACCTGGTGTATGCAGGCAGCCACCATCATGGCCAATTTGAAACTAGTTCGGAGCATAATCTCCGAACTGGTCATAGACTAAGCAACCAATGTAGATGTAGCCTGAATAACAATACCATCTTAGTCCCATGAATATCTGGTCATTTGTGGCTCTTTCATGCCACCCATGCTAATATCAAGACTAAGAAGAAAATTCAGGGCATAGCTCCATTATTTTGCTAATCCCCTGCATTTTATTGCAGATTAATCTACTTTGTATTCAGTTTTTTTAAAATTAGTAAAAATAAAATTATTATTCAGAACAAAGCATTTGTTCTGGAAAATGACTAATGTCAAGGACAATTTAAAAGGAAAAACAGAAAGTTGGTACCCATACATATTTATACAGACATGGACAGACACTGATATTTACATACACAAGCCTATTAGAACAGATAAAATCCCAACAACAGACATGTTGGATTACGCAACTGACAAATTATATAAGAAGTTTGTGATCTTCCTGACTCCTGCACCTTAAGTGACCAAGTAAGAAAGAGTGCTACACAAAGAATTTTGGACATAGAAGCACAAAAAGATATAGCTACCCTCAGTAAGGCTGCCAACCTAAAATGACTGAGTCAATATAAACATACCTTTCAAATTGCTATCTAAAAATGCAAATACCAAAACATTTTAGGGAGGTATTCACTCGAGCTAGATTTGATCAGCTTGAGACAATGGTCAGATACAGGAGATTTAACAGCATCCCTTATAATGAACAGAGTTGTATATGCAGGGCACCTGAAATTGCGGATATAGCACATTTGATTGTAATTTATTTAATTGTAAATTGTATCAGAAGGTGAGAGACTTCTACCTTGGTCCATATATCAAATGGACAATGTATTGGAAATCTCGCATCAGAACAACATATTTTATGTGTGGCCAAGAGCCAAAAATTACATATAAAACAGCTCTGTATTTAAGAAAAACAATAAGTCTGAGAACCACATATGTGGGGCTGATGGGGTAAATTGTAGGGGTGATAAGGAAATATGATGCACATGCTCAGTTTTATCAGTTTTATCATATCTTATCGTATTTATTTACTGAATTGTTATAAGTGTCTTATTTTAACTTACTACATAGAGTGCAATCAAGTCTTGTCAAGCCTTGTTGTTTTGTTTGATATTGTGATATGGCCTAAGGGCTAATCAATAAAATTACTACTACATACACAAGCACATCCTTGCAACTTCTTCATGTAGTCAGCCACCACTCCAAGGACGTTATCCCATGGGCAGGAGGAAAGCAGGGGAAAGTGTTTGGAAAAGTAGGGACTTCTCTTACCTCAGCAAGGTCCATCTTTGGGGATGGCCAACCACCCCACATCCTTTCCCCATCTTTTTCCTGCCCATTGGCCCAGGCCCTCTGCTTCCCCCTTCTTTCTTTAATCAGGAGTCAGGTAACATCAGACTCCTGAAAACAGAGTCTTCTCTCCATTTTTGTATTATGGCAAGATGGATTCCCATAGGCTGCCACCAGAAGTGGCCATGAGTCATGAGAGTGCCTCTGTGGAACTCTGTTCTGCCAACATACGAAAACAGAGAGAAAACATGGGATAAGGCCCTTAGCTACCACGGAGCTCCATAAGAACTCCTGGCCACTGCAGGAGCAGCTGTTGACATCAAAACAGGGAGGCCATGTAACCATCACAAATAAGGGGGCCCGTCCTCCCTTCTAAGATCTTCCATGGAGGCCCTCCTCTCGTTCCCACCACCATCACAAGTACAGTTGGTGGGGACGAGAGAGAGGCTCTTCTCAGTGGTGGCCCCCCACCTCTAGAACACCCTTCCAAGGGAAATAAGACAGGTCCCATCCCTCCACTCCTTTCGTAAGAGCTGGAAGAGCTGGTGGTTTCAACAAGCCATTGAGAATGACCAGTTCTAGCCCAGCCCCAAACATTGTTGAATATGGCCTTGCCCTCTTACCTATTACCCATGTCATCCCTTCAATAGGCCCTGGAAATGAGCAGCCACAGATCCGTACCTGCTATTGCTGTTAGCATGTTATAGGACTGTACTAAATTCCCGGTCCCCTCATAATTTGAGTTTGCACTAGCCTTGGCCCAGCCTTTTAATTGCTCTGAACATGCAGGATTATTTTGTGTGTGTGTGTGTGTGTGTGTGTGTGTGTGTGTGTTATTGTGATAATTTTATGCTTATGTTGTTTTGTTAATTTTATGTTATGCTGTTTACTCTGTATGTTTTGGTGATGTTACTTGGAAACCGCCCTGAGTCTCCCTCGGGGAGATATATAAATAAAGCTTGTTATTATTATTATTATTATTATTATTATTATTATTATTATTATTATTCTCTAGTTCCTGGTTATGTGGGCACTTATGTGAGTGTCAGAATGGGGTCCCCCATGACCAAAAACAAGAAAGGGGAGATCATCCCTTCTTTTGTACTGGTTGCAGAAGCACACCATTCTGATATAAGCAGAGATGCCCAAAGCATCCAGGAGCAGCAGTGGTGGCAACACGGAGGAGGTAAAATATACTTCACCCCAGCAGAGCAAATGCACTCCTTGGTTGTTGTGAATAATGCCCAAGATTGAAGGCTGCTCCACAGCATATTTGCACTATGCTATACTGGTGTAGATGAGCCCTTAAAGAAGCACTAAAACCAGGCTGGAAATCATTCACTGATTAAATTGCCTGTGTCTGAAAGCCAGGGCTGGGTGTCCATTCAGGCAAAGAACCATTACTTTTTAAATGCCTTGCATAACACCGGGAAAAAAGAGCTTAAAGTGCGCTGGTGTGAGCCACAGAGATTGTAACTTGGCTCTTTCTTCGTTATCAATTTGTTCTGAATGCTCTCGCTCTCACTGATGCAGACTAAAAGCACCAGTGTCTGCTGAAGATAGACACATGGTGACTTGAAGCAATCTCCTGAAATGCCCATTTATCCCCCTGCAATCATCTCTAGTCAAACTGGGTTCGAGGGGAGTTATAACACTTCAAGCTTTATTCTGAGACAGTTGAATATAGCCTGCCAGAAGCCTAACAAGTACGGCTGTAATAGAAACAAGTTCATTTCAGAGTGATTGTCACAGGCAGTTAAGGAGCAACTCATCCATGTTTAATTTCATCTGCAATAGAATAATCCCCATCTAACATCACTCTTGCTCTCAGACTGTGAAACTCCCTTTCAAGGGAGGACAGGCTGGTTCCCTCCCTTCTGCCCTTCCTCTGGTAGCCAAAAACCTTTTTATTCAGACAGACTTTCAGCAATTGCCTGCTCCAGAGGCAGCTTTTAGCCAATCGCTGCTGTACATCTTTATGGATACTTTTAAATGCCTTTTTAAAAGTTCAATAGGGTTTGAATAGTAATTGTGTAATCCTGTCTTGGTATTATAACTTTAAGTTTATTGTTATCTGCACTTGTTAATCTTGCTTTGGATTTCCTTGACTCAGTTCTCGGAGAAAGGTGGAATATATGCAAAGATGTTTTAACTCCACGTTTTTAATGTAATTGCTTGTTTTAATTGACTTTGTTTTTATATGACACTAGCCGTCCCCTGCCACACGTTGCTGTGGCCCAGTCTGGTGATCTGGAAAATAAAAGATTGAGAAAGTGTTGGTTTCTAATATATGTAATTTCTTTATGCTTGTGGGTAAACAGTATTTCTTATTGTTTCTTGTCAGTGTTGACATAGAGATTGTCTGTTTGCCTACTCTGGAATATGCAACATATAATTGTTGCCATTCTGTAAGGCTGTCTTGAACCCCCTTCAGGGTGAGAAGGGTGGAATATAAAGGTGAAGGTTTCCCCTGACATTAAGTCTAGTCATGTCCAACTCTAGGGGATGGTGCTCAACTCCATTTCTAGGCCGAAGAGCCAGGGTTGTCCGTAGACACCTCCAAGGTTATGTGGCCAGCATGACTGCATGGAGTGCCGTTACCTTCCTGCCGAAGCAGTACTCATTGATCTATTCACATTTGCATGTTTTTGAACTGCTAGGTTGGCAGAAGCTGGGGCTAACAGCGGGAGCTCACCCCACACCCTGGATTTGAACCACCAACCTTTTGGTCAACAAATTCAGCAGCTCAGCAGTTTAACCCAATGGGCCACAAGAGGCCCCTTGCAGGATAAAAATGTGGTAAATAATAAATAAATCTTTTTTAAAAACTAATATTTTGTAGGA